GGATGATCTAGTCTCATTCCCAGCCTTCAAAATCTGGATAGCAACCCTCCAGCAATCCCTCGCACGACAAGAGCACCCCTCACACGAGTTCCACAGTGATCCATACGTACTACGCAAAATCGATATCCAAGCCGTCGACCGCTTCGGTGGCGGGCGACTAGGCTTCGTCAAATTGAAAGCGGAGGTATCGAATGGCCAGGGCGAGACTTTGCCCGGTAGCGTATTTCTGCGGGGTGGCAGTGTCGGCATGCTGGTGAGTCGTCCCCCCGAATATCCAATTTGAACCATTTCTAGTCGATAGGAGATGTTTTTCCCCCCTTATGCTCTACATATGTAGACATCTAGGCGAAAAGAACAAGGATTACGCCTCAGCCCCACCACTCGAAAACATAAACGTGTTTCGTTTTTTTCTAATTCTATAAATAGCTCATCCTCCAACCAAATGATATACCCTCACCGAGTGAAAGTGACAAGCGCGCTATCCTGACCATCCAGCCCCGCATTCCAGCAGGCTCGCTGTCCTTCCCGGAGATCCCGGCCGGGATGCTCGATGACAGCGGGACGTTTGCTGGCGGTGCGGCAAAAGAGATCCAGGAGGAGACGGGTTTGCGGGTTGAGCAGGGGGATTTGATTGATATGACCTCGCTGGCGCTGCAGGCTGCGCAGGAACCTGGTTATGGTGAGCGCTTGCAGCGTGCTGTTTACCCGTCTCCTGGCGGGAGTGATGAGTTTATTCCGCTGTTTTTGTGTCAGAAGTCTATGCCTCAGAAGGAGATCGAGGAGTTGCAGGGGAAGTTGACGGGATTACGAGAGTCCGGGGAGAAGATTACACTTAAGGTTGTCCCTTTGGCGGATTTGTGGAAGGAGGGACTTAGGGATGGGAAGACTTTGGCTGCTTGGGCTTTGTATCAGGGGTTGAAGCAAGAGGGCTTGCTTTGAGTGGGAATAATATGTACGTGCGTAGGATGGGAAAGGGGATATGGTGATGTTTGCTAGTAGATTTATATGTCAATAGAGTTATTTGTATCAATTATGGTTCTTCGACGAGCGAGTGAGATATGATACAGTTACTAGCTCACAGCTTCCATTTCTTTGCCAGTTCGATCCCCTCGGCCAGTGTTCCAACCCTGGCATCAATAGCATAACCCTCTTTTTCAAGCTTCTTCATCTCGTCGAACAACGTGTCCAAGGGAACAGTAAAGCATTCAATGAACTCGTTATCCTCAAGCTCAGGCTTTGGGTTCTTGTTCTCAGGAAGGGACATATCGACGCGGACGTGGACCATATGCAGGTTTGTATTGCAAAGTCCTGGGTCTTCAAGTCACAGACGTTTGTTAGCTTTCAGCCCCAAAAAATTCAAATAACGCCGCCACAAGAAAACAAAACTAGCAGCTATCGCTCACATACCGTTATACATCACTGGACTAGTCTGCTCCGCCACACCAACGTAACCAGTCTCCTCCTTAAGTTCTCGGACAGCACATTGCTCAGGCGTCTCACCCGCATCAATGAGTCCCGCGGGAACCTCAATAACAACTGCATCAATTGGTGGCCGGTATTGCTTCTGGAGAAGCAACTCCGAGCCGGTATCTTTGTTCAGAATAGCAACGATCCCAACGCCATCAAGATCGAGACCAGCAGGACGAGTCTAGGAAAACGCGGTTAGCAGCAAATCCGAAATGTAAATTTCAAAAACAGACACTCTAAAAGATTGGTTGAACAGGATGGTAATGGGGATCAACCAATGCGTCCAATACACATTGCAAGGCAACCAATGGTCATGTGGTTTCGGTTGATACGGCGCCGGGCAACGCCCGGGTGTCTGCCACCTGGAGCAGAGTTCCCCGAGGACGGGAGCCCCACTGATACTAACCACCATTTCCTGATTTAGACGAGGCTGGAGCTTAGTCTGTCATGTAGGTGGCTTCATGTAGGCTGCTCTCGTGGCACTTCGGCGGGCGTGTCACTTTGATACCTGCACCCGGTGTCATGCGTATACCCCGGACATCGACCAGCGTGCATAATGCGAATAAACACAGAACAAAGCGGGATAGGTCTTACCGTGCGCTCAGCTGATTCCCATGTTCGCTCGACACCCAGGGGGTCAGTGTATGTCGTCTTCACCATTCGAGCCCAGCGGGCTTCGCTGGGGTCCTGTTTGGCAAAACATGTCAGTGGTCGGCCAGTGAGGTATTCTCTAGTGGTATCATCCCAAACTATATTTTATACATAGTAGACTGGGACTTTATCGCCGGAGAGACCCTCGGGGAAATTGAACATACCAATGGTCCCCGCGAGACGAGTTTCGACTTGGCCTGCGTGCGAGCTGACATTGTAACGGGTTGGCTGTGATTTAGATTGAAATGAGTGGGAACAAGTGGCCAGGAATCAATGGTGTATGATTTATCCGTCCAATGGAGTACTCGACTGACGCTGCTAGATCAGCAACCAATCCCAACCGGAGGGGACCTCGGGAGGGGTGATGGCGGGGTTAGCGGGGTTAGCCCTTATCTTATCAGTCTGATATTCCTTAGAAGGCCCCGTGATGTCTCTAATGTTTCTAAGTGGAGTCAGGTTTAGGATGGAAAAGAGTGCTATATCCTACGATACATGAAGCAAATACCCGAACCGACTAATAGGAAAGGTATAGTTAAATGGTATCTCATTGCGCATCAAGACCTGTCTATGCAAAGACGGAAGATACTGAATAAAAATGCACCAGGCAAAGAAGAAAGTAGCAATGACAGGACACAGTCCAGTCTCAAGCAAGTCTTGCCACTCTTGTATCAAAAGAGATCGAAACACCCTTGATAACAGAAAGTGTCAAGAGGATTCGAGAGTCCATGATACATGGAGTGACGCAAAACCGGAAAACAATAGACGAAATAGCTCCATAACGACATACGCTCGCTCTCATGACATCGTGGACGCATAAGCGTCACAAGCGATAGCACGTTTAAAGGCTCGACTGGACATCGACGGAGACATCATTCTCGATATCCGTCAGACAATTCTCAAACTCAGACCAATGATACATGACAGTCTTTGCGCCAAGCTCAGTCAGGGTCTTCGCCATCGCATTCTGGGTGTCTTCGCCATTGAAGCTGCCAACATATGCGATAACGGGAATACCGGCACGAATCGCGGAAAGAGCGCCAGACTTGCTGTCCTCGATGGCAACGGTCTCGGCAGCAGTCTTGCCGACCTGCTCAAGAGCATACAGGTAGATAGCGGGGTCGGGCTTCGAGGTAGGCTTCGGCAGAGAGCTGGCAGCGCTGAAGACCTTGTCCTCGTCAAAGTACTTGTCCTGACCGACATTCTTGATGGAAGCGAGCACGCGGCGCAAAGCGGAAGAGGATACGACCGCGAGACCGTACTTCTGCGCCGCGTAAATCTTCTCCAGAGCCTCGTTGGCACCGATACAAGGCTTAGCCTTGGCATTCAACTTGGCAATGACTTTGTCCTCTTCCCTGGTGACGTATTCTTCCAGCTTCTCCGGATCAATCTGGAAGTCGTACTTCTTCTGAAGGGAGACCATCATGCCGCGGAAGTTCTGGCCGACGAAGTCTTTGATGAGCTGCTCGCCGGTGTAACGATCGGGGAGGTTATTGGCCTCCAAAATCTCGTTGGCCAGGTCGGCACAAGCCTCGAAGGCCAGCTCCTCTGAGAGGACCAGAGTGTTGTCGCAATCGAAGAAGATTTCCGTGATCTGCAGTAACTGTTAGCATTGGTGGGTCTCTCATAGGAGATACCGCAATCCTCGCACCTTAGTCATGATGAAAATACGGAGAGTAGATCCGGGATGTTTGTTTATTGAGAGGGGGAAATGCGAGCAGAAGTGTAATCTGCGAAGGGTATTGGTCTAGTATGATCTAGGAGAATGGTGGATGCAGGTCGAATGAAGACAAGAGGAATGCCTGCAAGGAAATAGGCGACTGGAGTATTTAAGTCAAGGCAAGAGCTGACCCCAAGAGAAATGACGCCGCGATCACAATCTCCAAGGGGAAACCGGGCCAGAGCGGGAGGGGCTGGTCACTGACGTGGGGCTAAATGTACCTGATACCTGAAATTTGCCCTGTCTAATCGTGCAAAAACAGGTATCTAGTACCTCAAACCTGGGAAGACAGCCAGATATTCAGCCAATAAAAGAACACAGACCTATGGTGGACTAGTCCGTTTACAGCCTAGCGTCCTTTTTCTACTCCGAGCAGCTGCGAATGGTTTCACCTCGCAGTTTCTCGTAGTTTCTTGCATCGCATTTCCTCTCACCGACTTATTCACTTCAATGTTTTTCAAGTTTGAAATTTGCCTTGATAAACGAATCCCGTGACATTGTTTCTTTTATGAGTACTCTGCTCAAGTGACTGTTAATATGCAAGTAACCTTCTCACCTGATGCCTAGACTGTACAGGATTCTAGATTGCAAATGGGCCGTTTGATTGGATATCACTGGGTACGACTATACATCAGCCTACTACCTAGGTAGGCCCGAGCTCATGCACGGCCATGCCCCCGTCTTTTCACTGTTCTCCTACTTGTCCTCCGAGGGGAGGCGGAACTCCAATTCGGAAAAAGCAGCCGGGGCACGGAATGATTGAGAGTCATACACGAGCATGCAGGCCCGAAACTCCGCCCGTTGGTCCATTTTTCCGTGTCATCTCAAATAACTGGCGCGCTCAGATAATATCGAGCACGGAGTATGCACTTGGACGTTCAGAGCATGCTTGGCGGGGACTAAGAGAAGAAACCCGATGTTAACATTACCTCGGTAGAGAGTACATATAGTACTGTTCCAGTTCCGGTGGACGATGAGCGATTTTATGCTTTATACCTCATTCTATTATTGCCATGGTCAAAGGGTTAATTTATCATCATCTCGTGCTAAGGGGAGTTGTGCCCAACTTGGGAAGCATACTTCGTACTATCATTTCCGGAGCATGACACTCCGGAACCTGTTGTAGACCTAGACTTTACCCATTATTTCATCCAAATAGATACATATGTACACAACCAGGAACCATGTAGCACAGCTTATATACATTGCACGAACCCGGGTCCACCTCTTCCATACAACCACCATGATTGGCTACACTCAAATCCCAAACCTGCTAATTCCACAACGGCCTTTCCTCACATTCGACCCGAAGACCAAAAAGAAAAACCGCAACATAACGTTTCGTCAAATCAAAATCAATTTAATCAGCACCACTCAACGATCTCGGGCCAAATCGCCATTTTGCACAGCCGGCAAACCCGAAACGGCTCCTAGTACAACCCCGGAGTACGACCTGATACCAATATTTGGAATTCCAAATATACTTGGCAACAGCTTTAGCCAAAAGAAAGCAAACATGGGGTCGCCCGATACTTTCCCGACATTGGAGTCCCTTCATTTCCCGTCGGCACAGCTGTCAATCTCTCAGACGCTTTCGTCTCTGCGTCAATCAGCGCTTTCTGTCGCCAACCGGCTCCAGTCTATTGAGACCGATGCCGCTTTTGCGCAAGAGGTCGCTGACCACTATGGTTTACCTCTGGTGGCTAATGAGCGCTGCGGAAGCTGGTATATCCCGCCTACGGCCAAGGCTGGCAGTGCTTATTTCAAAAGCACCGATGGCCACACCGGTCAGTGGGATTTTAGCTTTCGTAGGCTGAACTTGCAGTTGCTCCCGCTAGCTAGGGATCATGGGGGGTTAGTCTAATTTCCCTTTTGCTGTCTTCTTTTGCTTGTGGGGTTGAAATCTGTGTTGGGATACCTTTAGTTGACCTTCGTTGAGACAAGTATAAACCATGGCAAACTCCATCGCTGCATGATCCTCCCAGAGCGCAAAAAGAAAACGCAAAAAAGCTGACTATATTTTCTTTGATTCTGCAGCTGTGTAATTGTGGACTCTACTCGCCGAGGAAAACGTATGTACCACCTCTACCTGCACCATCCCAGTCAGAGAATTATCCCGCTCCCCTTACCCTAATGGTCGCTATGCATATCGTGACTACGGCTAAGCCTCGAGCAATCTATTAACCCGCCCCTAGTGATGCCAGACGCATTATCAAAAACCGTCCCAATCTGGAGCGCCGTCCTGAACAGAGCCCTGTTTCCATCCGCAACTGCATATCACCCAGTCCGTCTTCCACCCGATTACCTGGGAGCATCGGAAGAAGCGCAGATCGAGAGTCGAATCGTAGGATTTGTGCATTCACTAAAGGTACGCATGCATGACATGGATGTGACTTGCACAAAATTAGTTGCACTAGACCCCCATCTTCTTCATCGAGGCCAAAGTGGCTGATACTTGATAATCATCAGAGCCTAAAACTCGATCTGGACAACCTGCGCCAGCAACTAGGCAAACCAATCGAGATCGCCTGGGCAAACAGGACATATTTCCACCCGGAAGATCTGCACACGGGCGATGAGTACAATCTGTTCGTACTATGCTCCGCTTCGAGGCGCGTGCATGGCGCTGAAATGTCTGAGGGTGGATACATCCAAGGCGCGGGCGATGATAGCGAGGCGTGGGCGTATGGGCTGACGCCGCCAGTGTTCTGGGCCAACCAGGCTGTTTTGAAGAGTACACCTGAAGACGAATTGCCGGGGCTTATTGACCGGCTGGTGGCTGAGCATAAGCTGCTGGACGTGGCTCACCACGCGACGCTCATTTCTCCCACGCGCAATTTGTACATTGGCTCGGGGGCCGGGGTTGATGCTGGAGGTCAGTATGATCTTCTCATTGATTGCAATGGAAGTGCTGCGGCTGCCGAAGCCAATGCGAAGCGGCTTAATTTGGGCTGTGACTCTGGGAAGCTGGGAAGTCGGGATCTACGAAAACGTCTGGATAAGGTGCGTGAGTTTATCGGCGTCCGTCTTGGGGCGGATTCGTCGCTGTCGGTGCTGGTTACATGTGAGAATGGGAAGGATCTTTCGGCAGGGACGCTGCTGGCGATAGTCTGTCTGTTTTATAACGACGAGGGTATGTATGCAATGGCCCATGTGGTCTGGGTGGTGGATTCAAACGCTATGTGAAACAGGGGAAAAATAACTAATCGTCTCCCACAGGTGGCTTCGATGCCTCACTGAGCAAGCGTGCGATCAGCAAGCAGTTCATTCGACAGCGTCTAGCCTGGCTCGTGTCGTCAAAACATGACGTGAATCCGTCTCGCGCCACGCTTCAATCTGTCAATGCTTTCCTGATGCAGCCGCCGGATTATTGACCTCGAGCAATATTACTCCATTGCATCGCTTGGTCGGGCCTGATTGGTGTCGAAGCGCCAGGGTCATAAAGAACCTGCCCCGGAGATCGCTCATTCGTTGTCCACGGCCTCCACGATAGCGCCGGCACTGCCCTGGTCGAGGGAATCCAGCACAGCCATATCCTCCACGCTGAGATCGAAGTTGAACACACCCGCATTGGACACAATTCGTTCGGGGTGGTCGGTCTTGGGCAGAGGCACCCAGCCCTTCTGCAGCGCATAGCGGATCAAGACCTGCTGAGTGGACTTGCCGTAGTTCTTTGCCACTTCCACTAGTGTTGGGTCGTTCGCTTTATAGTTTCGTACGAGGGGCGAATACGCCTCGACGATAATGCCGTTCTTCCGGCAGTATTCATTGATGACGCGCTGCTGGCACCAAGGGTGGAGCTGGAAAAATAATATCAGTGACCACGATCAAACCAGATATCTACCTACATAGATAGAAGAACAGTAATAGAAGCAAAAGTACCGACCTCGATTTGATTAACATGAGGCGGGAACACTTGGGCATATGAGCGCATCTCCTCAATGTGCCCCACACCGAAGTTGCTAACACCGATACTCTTCGTCTTGCCCTCCGCGTACAGCTTCTCAAGCGCCTGCCACAAAAGCTTCCGCCCAGAAGAGCCAGAGCTGGAGGAGTGAATCAAGAACAAGTCGACATATCCGTCAGCGCCAGCAATCTTGTGGACGGAAGCCAGCAATTTATCATAGGTAGCCTCGACCGAAGCTGCGGGGCTGAGGATCTTGGTTGTAACGAAGATCTGATCTCTTGGGACACTGGTGGTGCGCAGTGCCTCGCCGACTTCCGCCTCGTTGGCGTAGAACTGTGCCGTATCGATGTGTCGGTAGCCTGCGTCCAATGCCTTCAGACAGGACTGCACGCACTGGTTGGTGGGGGAGCGGTAGACGCCGAAGCCGAGGCGCGGGATGCGGACACTCGAGTTCGGGAGGGGGAGGCGATCGGTGATCTTGAAGGAGGCGGACATCTTGGAGAAATGGGTATTGTTTGCGAAAGAAAAGAGATTGGGAATTCGATTTCAAAAGAATAGTCTCCTGGCCCCGCTTTGCGAAAATGACCTCATTTTGGATGACTAACTCAAACCGGGGCCGCGGCTTTCCATGGTTCCGACGTCGCGATTTCTACCATAGTACCAATATAGGCAAGTCAGAATTTATTCTATTTGACTACTTTTCTCAAGAATCCCTAATACCGCGCCTATTTACTGTCAAAAGCTTGCCATTGTACAAAGTTGTTCCTGTATTGTACCCTGGTCACCAAAAAATTGCGTGATACCATTTGACCCGTTTGATTGGGCTTACAATTACCTTCATAATGCTATTGCGCCATCGAAGAACATTGCCCGGAGGTTTCTAGGGCAATTGACTAGAGTGCTTTTATTGGAGGCTACAAGCTACCATGCATTGGCGAGAGAGAGAGAGAGAGAAGGAAGAGACTATAAGAGGTCTGTTTGGATAGGAACATATAATGGAATCCGGCGACCCTTTATTTGAAGGCATCCTTCTGTTAAACCAGTCCACTGATATATACTATTAGAATAGAATCCATAGTGCCAGAGAGCATATAATATTCACCGTTATGGTTTTCTGTCCACAGATGGCGATCTGATGACAAAATTGGTATAAGTTGATTGATCCATTCACTAAATGAGCTTTTGGTCATTGAACCATCAAAAGCAGTGCGTTTTCTCGGTTCCAAGCCACCAGGTCTTGGATCAAAATCATACGATTCATGCTGTACTCGGCTCTTGCCATAGAAAACATCTGTAGTGATAATAGCTCGTCTCGGAAAAAGTCCTAAACAAGCTACTAGAGTAGAACACCCTAAATCTCGATGGATGAAGTCGAAGAAAGCTTTCTATTCTCACCCGACGGAGAATAAATGTAGTTAGAGTCGCCTTGGCAGTGGTGAGAAACGTTTCCAAGGCGTTAAACGTGGTATAAATCGAACCAAGGTAAAGGTCTCTGAGCCGGGTGAAAACAACGTTCTGAGAGACCCTCTGGAAGACTTGAGTATTTTATTCACGCCTGAACGAAAATGCTAGTCTCCTTAGACTGGCAGCGGATTTGATCACAGAATTGTAACTTCGATTCAACCCCTCAAACCATATGCATAGATGGAGATCTTCTAGCTCTTCTAATATAACAAGAAGAGCATTGTACTGTGCTTGTGTCAATAGTCTTGAAGAAACCGCGCCACAATCGTCAGGACAACATGTCTGCAGCTTTCTGAATTTTTCGGCTGGATCCGTTTAGCGCTCGAAAAAGGCACAATAGGGGCCAGCTGTTGCAGCGGGCTGGCCGGCTCCCCCTGACATACGATAGGGACAAAAATGAGAATCGAATATCCAACTGATTCTTCAAGTCGCGCAGACCAAATACAGATTGATTTTCTATTGCAGTTCTAGAAGGGGACTTGCTTGGTTTCACAATAAGGCTACTCATCCTGAATACCCCGTAAAGGTGCAAATCTTGCTCAGGTGTTGCACACAGGCCCTGTCCAACTGGGTTAGGCATGGGATAGGGGATAGGGGAAGGGGAGGGTGGGAGGGCGTGGAAGAAGAAAGAAAGAAAGAAAGAAAGAAACAGACAAATAGGCAAACAGACAATAGCAACAAACATAGAGGGAACAGACATACTGAAGTAATTTGGTTCAGCTCTCGTGATGGACAGTGGAGAACCCAGGAAGGTACAGTCTGTATCCGTAGAGGTGAAGGTTGAGAGCGCCCATAAGGATCCTCAAAGGAAGTCCAGAAGTGTTCCATGAGTGGTCCTATAAGACGTCCACCAGACATGCTTCGTGCCATTAACAGCCTTAACTGGACCGCATCAAAGACCCAATTTCTAGAGCTGAACGGACCGCGATGTGCAATGGCGACCTAGAGCGGTGTGAGGGTGTGAGGGTGTGAAGAAGAAGAAGAAGAAGAAGAAAAAGAAGAAGAGAGAAATGGGGGGGAAGGGGTATTTATATTTTCCCAGTGGGAGGAAGGAACTGGGGTCGGCGACGAGTTTGGATAAAAAGGGAAGGCACTACTGCCTCACATGGGAATGCTTTTCTAGAGTCAAGATAAGATTCGACCTCAAACGGAGTTAATCACTCAGCTATATGGCTGAGGCTTCGGGATATCTTCCACCAGATCCTCTCATTCAGAGAGTCTTACAACCAGTTGATCCTAGTCGTTTGAACATTAGAAACTGTTGATCGTCGACACCCTGTCACTGGCTGGTTCTTGGAAACTGTTCTTCATGCTGTCCTTGACGCGGGAAGTCCCCTCGAGTTTGAGCATTGGCCGCTATGGTGAAGACTTCGAGAACGGCACCAAAGGATATATCAGAAAAGGCACTAAGTTTTCAAAGTTACTATGTGATTTCTGGAGAAATTCATCCATTGCGCGCCAACCTAGAGATCGAACTGTATGTTGCCGTGAATAGAGTAGAAATGATGTCGGGTGGTGCGAAACCGATTGTTTCAAGGTTCCCAAAGCATGCTAAACACTTGCGAAGCCTATCGACGAAGGTGGTCGATTCCAGCAGGTTGAGGTGGTCTGCAACTATAGCTTGGTATGTGGCATACCGAGGTTTCAATTCATCATCCTTCGCAGCGTTTTGTCGGCACCGCGATTGAATCAGTGCAGAGGTCCCCGGGGCCACACCTGGGCAGGGCTGGCATGCCCGGGTGTATGATACATACAACGTAAGTACGCGATGTTTCGAAAAAAGGAGGCGAAGCGTAAGAAGCACCATACATATGTAGAGTAGTAGCTATATTACAGTGAGTAAAAATGTATTCCTCGCATGTAGAGCTCACCAATCTGCCTAGCACGCACTTCCTACGGAGCAGAGCTATCTGAGCTATCTTTAGGCATATGTAGTGATATATATATTCATGGGCATATATAAATCCCAACGGCGCCAGAGTGGCATTTGAAACTTGACACAAAGAGGAGACCAATCAAATTTTCACAGATTCAGAAGAGTCAAGCACTTCTATATCGTCTCATATAGAGATCTCCCGTTTAAGAGACAAAGGGGGTTGTAAACAATAGAAGTCTATACTTAGAAGTGGGTCCACAAGGGATGCAGCTGTAAATTGTCTGATAATTTTCCTAAACTTCCAGTCCCAAGTATTCTTTTCTTTGTCTTCGTTGTCTTAATAAACCGCTTTCTCTTCGAGTTCGAACAAGAAACACGGTTGCTCGGGTGATCTTCAGCTCCGACTTGCGGGACAAACACAACCCCACTCGACATTATTTCCCCTTTGTGCTCCATTGTCTGATCTCCAGTCCGAATCGGAAAGTCTTTAAGCCTCTCTAATAATCCTTGTCCTTTCCTTCTTAACCCAAACCCTGTTCGCTGTCATCTCCCGATATCATTGCCAATCGGCCCTGAATGTCTCCGCCGTGATCGAAGATGTTGACGGTTGAGAAGCAGTGGATTAATGTGCAGCAAAAGACCTTCACCAAATGGTATCTTCCCTGTCCCCGTTCTCTCTCCGTATGGACCTTGCTGACGAGTAATGTTAGGCTGAATGACAAGCTGAAGGCACGGAGCCTGTCCATCGAGGACTTGGTCACTGACCTCTCCGACGGCGTATTGTCCCACCTTGTGCCCCGCTCACCAATTTCGGGTTGCTGATCCCATATTAGGTCATTCTCATTCACCTCCTCGAAATCCTTGGAGGAGAGTCCCTCGGTCGGTATGCCTCGAAACCCAAACTGCGCGTACAGCGCTTCGAAAATGTGAACAAAAGTCTCGATTTCATCAAGGGGAGGAGGATCCAGATGACGAATATTGGAGCAGAGGATATCGTCGATGGCAATCAAAAGATCATCTTAGGTTTAATCTGGACCCTGATTTTGCGATTTACCATCAGTGACATCAACGAGGAGGGCATGACTGCAAAGGAAGGATTGCTACTCTGGTGTCAACGAAAGACGGCATGCTACGATGATGTAGAGGTCCGGGACTTCTCGTCCAGCTGGAACAACGGCTTGGCATTCTGTGCCCTCCTCGATATCCACCGACCGGACTTGATCGACTACGACTCGTTAGATAAGAGTGATCACCGTGGAAACATGAAGTTGGCCTTCGAGATCGCATCCAACGAAATCGGCATCCCGGACCTACTTGACGTGGACGATGTATGCGACGTACCCAGACCTGACGAACGTTCCCTCATGACCTACATCGCCTACTGGTTCCACGCTTTCTCGCAATTGGAGAGAGTCGAGAACGCCGGACGACGAGTGGAGAAGTTTGTCAACAACATGCACGGTGCATGGGATATGCAGAACTCATATGAGCGCCGAGTAAAGGAGTTGTTGCGACTGATTCGCGGCCAGCGCGATCACTGGAAGAACTCCTCGTTCGAGGGAACATACAAAGACGCCAAAGAACAATTGTATCAGTTCTCGCTCTACAAGCGGAACGAGAAACGCCAATGGGTCGCCGAGAAATCTGACCTAGCTGCTTTGCTAGGCAATATCAAAACCAAGTTAGGTACATATCGACTGCGTCCTTACGACCCACCGCAAGAACTGAGTCCCGAAAACTGCGACAAAGAGTGGGAGATCCTTACCCGGGAGGAGCATGAACGCAGTCAACTCATAAACGAAACAATCCGTGACATCAAGAACAAACTGCGCCGCTCCTTTGCTGACAAGGCAAATGACTTTGCACTGACCCTGAAGACCTTGTCATTGGCAATCTCTGGTCTAGATGGTGATGTTGAGGACCAGCTTGTTCACGTTCAAAAGTTAAATGGCAACTTGCCGCCCCTCGACGCCTTTCTCGACACTATTGCAGAATTGGACCAACAGTGTGCGGAGGCCAATATTGAAGAAAACGACTTCACCACATACACCCTGGACGAGCTTGCGTATGAGCTGAGTCTCGTCAAATCCAGCATTTCAAAGAAGCTGGCATTCCTTGACAACCAGATGGTTGCTCGCAACATGACCAATCTGACCCCTATCCAATTGGAAGAGTTTGAATCGGTATTCCGTCATTTCGATCGCGACTCTTCTAACACGCTCCAGGAGCTCGAGTTCTCCGCGGCACTGGCCAGTCTGGGACTGGTCTACGATGAGGACGAGATGCACCAGGTCTACGTGGAGGTTTGCGGGGTCAACCGACTGTCACAGAATGCTGGAGTCAGCTTCGAGCAGTTTATTCGGTTTATGGTCAGTGTGACAGAGGATCAAAATACTGCCGAACAGGTCTTCCAAAGTTTCAAGGAAGTTGCTGATGGCAAGGTATGTGAAGCGTTTCTTTGATCTCTGATGAATTCATCGGGCTACAGTCACTAACTTTCCTGCAGCCCTATGTCACAGAACTGGACCTCCGACACTCCCTCATCCCAGACGACGTTATTGAGCATTTAGTTAAGACGATGCCCACACACGATGGCCCCGACTTACTCGAGGATCGGGACTTGGCCAAGTATGACTACATCAGCTTTATGGAGAAAATGCGAGAAGTGAATAAAAATAATGGGAGTGAGCAATAAAAGGTATCATTGAGGTTGATATTCGCAGCATTACTGGTGGTTATGGGCACTAACTTGGTGTTGCTGTGTTTCTGGTGTTTTCAGCGTGGATCCTCATGTTTTTTCTTTCCTTCTTCGAAACCCGGGTTCTCCTCTTGCTTTTTTCTGGTTCATCTTGCATCCTGGGGTTCGGTGGTTGTTCCTCTTTACCGCATGTATTTATTGTGTTATGCTTCTCTGTTTGTAATGATCAGGATACCATGTGAACATTTTCAACTATCAAGACTATCGGTAGCCGTGGAGTCGAACTTGGGCAAGTGAGGATAGCCAAGACTCATGAATGTGCCATAAAATAACAATTCTTTCTAGGGCTGTTACTACAATGGAATCTTTGAAGCTATTTTGGGTCTGATCTGTAGATATGGATACTGCCAATCACTACCGTATTTATACACATATCATGTGACAGTCCCCAGATCCATCGGAGCTGATGAGGATGATCCTGCGATTCATTGTATTCCTTGACACATCACACTTCTTTCGATCTTTTCATTTAAACACTGGTCATAGTTGAATTTGTTGACCGCCCTCTCTCTTTTACACATATTATTCTTCCCTCAATCGCATCCCCCAACCCTACACTTTAAGATGGATCGCAGTTTGGACGAGATCATCGCTGAAGACACGGTAAGGCTCCAGAGAGCAATAAAACCACAAAGGCGCGCAATTAACTCACTCAATTGCAGCGGAACCCTGGTCGCCCTTCAGGCGGTGGTGGTCCTCGTCGTCACAACAACCCCGGCCGTCGCCATGAGCGCGATGGCGTCAGAAAGGTACAACTTGACTTGACACTGTGTTCTCGAGTTATATTTGCATGGCAGTGAAGCTAATATATTACTCGATATTTAGGTCCGCCCTCCTTTTCCTCCTCTGCGAATTCTCTTCTTGCTCCGTGACAATCGTAGCCAGTCCTCTGGGCCGTTGGAGACTTGCCAACGAACACGCCACGGCAAAGACATGGAACAGAACTTTGCACGATATCCCATCTGACTTGGAGCTAACGCTAAGTCTTTTCGATAACTACAGCCATACACTTCGGACCGTGTCGATCTCAACCTGTGATTATACCTTCCTGGCTACTGCGATGTGGATGATACTGACCGGTCTCTGGTTCTAGTGACTGGGTGCACGACAAATTTGACGACGACCGATGTATGTGGCTTACCCATACTTTGCCGGGATCTCTCTAACAGCATTTCTCTTCAGCCCGCCCGTCCCGTGGAGGCCGCAGAGGCCGCGACGGATATGATTCCGATCGGTATGGAGCCTCCCATCAAATCAGCCTCGGCTTGGTAGCTTGCCTGATCAGGGCGCTAATTGAAGTATTAGCTCTAGCACACTGACCAAGGTTCGCGTGGATAACCTTCACTACGACATCACCGAAACCGATCTCGACGTAAGTTTCAATCCCCCATACTCAACCCCCACACAAGAATACCCCTAACAAGCCTCCTGGCTGAACAGGATCTCTTCGGTCGAATTGGACCTGTTTCTGAACTTACTGTCTCTTACGACCGCGCTGGACGCTCCGAGGGAGTTGCTTTCGTTACATACGCCCGCCTGAAAGACGCACACACCTCCATTCAGGAGTATGATGGAGCCAACGCCAAGGGTCAACCCATCCGTCTTTCTCTTATCCCCGGCCGCCGTGAACGTAACCCACTCGACTCCGCGCAACGCCCTAGACCCAGCCTCTTGGACCGCGTCCAGCGTCCCCGCGACGATCGCAGCATGAGCCCAGATGACAACGCAGATGGTCGACGCCGCCGTGGTGGTGGCCGTCCTCATCGCAGCGACGTCACCAAGCCCGCCCCAGACAACATCGACCGTTACGTCCCGGGACAACGCTCCAACCAGCGCTCCCCTAACCGCCGCGGCGGAGGCAGACGTGGACGCGACAACCGCTCGCAACAAGCTGATGGATCCAACCGCCGATCCAATCCCCGTCCGCGCAAGACCCAGGAGGAGTTGGACCAGGAGATGGAAGATTACTGGGGTGGTGCGAACAATGGCGGTGAAGCAGCTGCCCCCGCTCAGGATGTCCCTCAGCAGACTGCTCCAGCGCCAAGCGCACCGGCTGCCGATGATGATATCGATATGATTGAGTAATACTTCAGTCACTCGAACTACGGGAGACTCGCTTGCCTTGAGCCATTTCAGATCTTTCGGGCTTCGATGAAATTACTGTTGATCTTTTCTATGAATTAAGATCACCTCGGCCTTTTCCCACACTTTCTCTTCTCTTTTTCCATCGCTGGCCCTTTCGGCACGAGGGCTGAAACTCTGTACTTTACCTCAACCACCAAATTGTAACTCGGTCCATATCACACATTCGCCTTTTTACTGGATTCTTCTTTACCCTCGTTACTCTTATCCTTGTCCTTGCTCTCGCTCCATGTCCACACCGGCGAACTGGGAAACCATGATAAAGTTTTTTTCCTTATTGCATTGTTCGGTGTCTTTCTTCATGTCTTTCTATCGTCTAGTCAGGGGTAAAAACATATGCGCATATCCTATAAAGCCTGTATACAAAGAACGAAGGCTGCTTGGAACCAATGAACGAGGGCAAGATACAAGTTGATAGAGCATAAACCCAGTAAAAACCGCCGCCAATCATAAATAGAACAAGGATCGCGAATGGAAATGGAAGATATGAGATCCTTCCTTGATTTATTCTATACACTGTAACAATTATGGGAGTGTCAAGATCACCTCCACAGTCCATAGGGTTCGCGGCATGCTTTCCACAACTTGATAGTACCATCCTCACTACCAGTTCCGTAGAGCTTGCCATCGGGAGAGAAGCTGACAGACCAGATAGGGCCATGGTGACCCTTTTGAACCTCTGCAGAAGAAAGTTAGCTCGACTCCAACGCCAAAAAAAAGAGCATTAAACCAGAAGTAGCAAAACATACCCAGCTCCTCATCCGTGTTCAAGTCATAGACTCTTGCCCAGGTATCATTCGCACTGCCCGTAACCAGACGACCAGACTCGCTATTAACCGCAGCACTAGCAACATCATAGTCATAATCGACCTTCTTAAGCAACCGACCAGGCTGCACGCCATCAAAGAGATAAACACTCTTCCCGGCCGCGACAGTCAAAATCCCCGCATCATTAGGCCTCGTCGCCAGACTATTCAACTCGCAAGAGCCAATCGTGCCGTCAACACCATACTCAACGATCGGGTGGCGCGACCGCAGATCCCACCAGCGGATCTTGCGATCCTCTGCCGCCGTCGTGACGACATTGTAATCCTGGTTCCAGACGATGGACTTGATCGTACCGCCGTGCACGCCGGCGCCGATCTCATAGCTCGCCACCCCATTCTCAGTGGCCGGACTGGCCGAAGATGGGAGAGGCGGCGTTGAGCCAGTGCTGGAACTGCCGCCCCGCGTTAGATCGAAGATTCGTAGCTTCTTCTCTGCGCCGCCTGTTGCGAGGACTTGCGGGTTCGCTTGGATTGGGAATGCTACTGCCCGCACGATGTGTGCGTGTTGCAGTGTGTGCAGACATTCGCCTGTGTAGGTGTCCCAGACCTTGCTGTTTCGGGTGTCGAGATTAGTATATCGTCGTGGGGGATGGTTGGGGATGCTTACGCTGAGAAATCGGCTGCTGCTGTGGCTGAGACGGCGGCGTCGGCGGAGAGCCTTGCTTGCCATACGGCGCCTTTGTGGCCGAGGAATGTTCCAATCCTGGAGATTGATGTTAGTGGGTGGATTCTGGGCTTGGTTTCATTTCGACGTACCAGTCGCCCGTTATGCCATCGCGGAGCATGGGGTTATTATCTTTGGTTGGTTAGTGGATATGCGGTAATTTCTCAAAATCATTGGTATTCGTTACCCTTGCATGAAGAAATGAAGTAATATTGCTCATCTTCGACGGTGGAAGAGAAGCTCAGATGCGTTACCGGACGAGAATGTCCGTGGCAAGTCAGAGGTACTACCTTGGGGATATCTGTTGAAGAAATATCAGTAAACATTGCATTTTCAATTCTCATCTACACATATCCCTCACCGGCAGTCATTTCGTTGGCGTTGAAGGAAGTTCCCGAGGTTCCAGTAGTTTTGATGTTAGGTATCAGATAGCCAATCAGATCAGCAAAATGCTATGTGCCCAACCGAAAGCTCACGACTTGATATCAAGATACAAATCCAGGAACTAGACCGAGGGAGAGTTCAATATGTCTAAGGAAGGTACATAAGAGATTCGTCAGGGTCGTCAAGTCATCAAACAGATATGTGGGGTTCGAGGAAGAGCCGAGAACAAAGGATCGAAAAAAGTGGATTGAACAGGGATTTTCCAACCAGACACCTCAAAGGGAGAGAAGGCCTCAGGAAATATGAGACTCCTTTGGTGTGTAGATGGGATATCGAACTTCATTTTCAAACAATAACGGGCAGCCCTGGAGCCGATCACCTATTAGGTAAGGTATGCGCTAGTCTGATTTGGGTATAACTGGGACACGTGAGGCTCATCGCATGTGCTACAGTTTGCGGCGAATTATTCTAAACAGACATTGATAGATATCTATAAAAAAAATTATGACAAGATATCTAGCAAGACATCTAGAAAAGCCTTAAAAAAGATATTGGAAAAATTCTTAAAATGACATTAAAGAGACGTCTACAAAGACATATGAAACAAATACGGGAAAAGACATTGAAAAACGATATTTAAGAAAGAGTGATATCTAATGTAACCTCTTTGATACCCGAATAGGCCCTACATCTTCAAATCTATGACCGGCAGAGGGCCGACTGTGTATTCTAGCCCTGAGTACTAGTCCTATAAGAAGCTGTCAGTCACGTGATGACTTGTATGTACCTAAGAAGGAACCAACCGTGGAAGGCCCCACTTTCCTCGGTCCCACTTTTTTCTTCCTTTTCTCCAACCACGCAACGATCATCAAGTATATGCTATCATCTTTCATCGTTCTGCTTTTCATCATGGCTACTCCAACTCAGCCAAGATATGAACTGTCAGCATTTTGGATAATCCACTGCCGTGGATGGTGTTGTTGGGTTTGCAGTGGATGCTGCGTCGGACTATAGCGATGCGTGGAGCTACAGAGGATGAGGATAGTGATTTCGATTCCGACGATGAAACTGCAGATGAGGATAGTTACTTCGAATCTGACTACAAAACTATCTCTGTTCTTTCGTGCTCGTGTTAACCACCTAAGGAGTAGAGAGTTGGCCGAATACAAGCCTCCTAGATACCTAGGCCATATTATTCGCAACCTGAGGCCCGTCCTGCCCGTCTTCTCCGTGAATGTCTCTCTTCGATAGCAAATCATCGTTCGGACTTTGCTCTCCCCGTCACTTTGCTAGCTTTGCTTGTATATGTCGATCTCTCTACATTACCTATATAGTAATTGGTGCTATGAGAGGACTGATTGAGACGATAGCCAGTCAGCCACTTGGCAGTTTGCTCTCTAGATATTATCTCACATATTGATATCAATGTCCACGGGTAAATACCTTTTTGCTATTACTGAGCTTAATGGATAGGCCCCGAGCGTGATCAGGTCTGTGAATGTTGTAAATTTGATGTGATTTACAGTACGCTTGATCCTTAGCGGGGCCCTTAGCCTATCTCGTTCCGGGCACCAAGCTCTGATGGAGAGATGTAGTCCGCTCCCTGAGCCCCGTGACAGACCTCAATCTTGGAGCGCTTCCAACTGCCCTGGAGTACAGATGGCTGTCCACTACCCACCACAAAGTAGATGATTCCAAGGTCGCTCGGACATTCGCCAGTATGGTGGATGGAGTCTTGAGGACCATCTGAGCATGCAATAAAGTTCCTTAGGGGTAGAAGATCCAATCAAAAGACCCGTACCTTTGCATTTGATAAGATCTTGGCGTGTTCCAGTAGGTTCCCCGAACAGCATTACCGCCCACGTGATATGGCCATTGATGCTTCGGCGGGGCGATCCCCCGGAACGACTAAAGGACAACAACATCCAGGGGAGCTTGATTGATCATTAATTCCGCGGTGATATCCTCAAACTATATCTTCTTCAGATTCTTCTTTCTTCACCGTTTCTTCCCTCAAAGTTTTATGTATGCCTGACTTCAAGCTCTCTGCAACTTTGGAGGGCCACGGCGATGATGTAAGGCTCCTGGTCCCGGCGTCTGTACCGACGCCATTGACTGCGCCTCCAAACCACACAGACTACTCACACTGTTTTGATTTTTAACCCAGGTTCGCGCCGTGGTCTTCCCAAATCCAAATGTCGTCCTTTCCGCCTCTCGCGATGCAACAGTTCGGCTCTGGAAGCTCGTCTCCACTCCACCTCCCGCATATGACTATACCATTGCTGCACATGGCGGCGCTTTCATCAACAGCTTAGCTTACGTTCCTCCAACATCCGAGTTCCCAGAGGGCCTTGTCCTTTCCGCTGGACAAGACGCAATAATTGAAGCCAGACAGCCTGGCAAGGGTGCAGAAGATAATGCAGATGCTATGCTTTTGGGTCATGGCCACAATGTCTGTGCTCTAGATGTGTCTCCGGATGGCAAATGGGTCGTGAGTGGCAGCTGGGATTCCACCGCCCGGCTATGGAGGGTCGGGAAATGGGAGTGTGATGTCGTACTGGAGGGGCATGAGGCAAGCGTCTGGGCCGTGCTGGCCTATGACGAGAATACAATTATCACGGGTATGCTAGCTTCGTGCGGCCGTAATAGCCTTACATGCTAACATCACCGTAGGCTGTGCTGACAAAATGATTCGGATGTTCAATACCTCGGGAACCCTACTCGGAAGCGTACAAAACTCAAACGACGTTGTCCGGGCCTTGTGCAAGCTTCCTGCCTCGAACCCTACAGGAGCCCACTTTGCCTCAGCTAGCAATGACGGAATAATTCGCCTTTATACACTGTCGGGCAAACTCGTCGCCTCTCTACATGGTCATGAAAGCTTTATCTACTCCCTTGCTGCGCTCCCATCTGGCGAGCTCGTGAGCTCCAGTGAAGACCGTACCGTGAAAATTTGGAGCGGGACCCAATGTGTGCAGACAATCACCCATCCCGCAATCTCAGTGTGGAGTGTCGCAGCTTGCAGTGAGACCGGTGATATCGTCACTGGTGCCAGTGACCGCATTGCTCGTGTTTTCAGCAGAAGCCCTGACCGACATGCAGCCCCGGAGGCCATACAGCAGTTTGACCAGGCTGTCAAAGAGTCAGCTATTCCAGAGCAGCAAGTTGGGAAGATTAATAAAGAGGAGCTACCTGGACCTGAATTTCTGAAACAAAAATCTGGAACCAAGGAAGGTCAGGTCCAAATGATCCGAGAGCCCGGTGGTACCGTAAGCGCCCACACTTGGTCTTCCGCAACACAGGAATGGATTCCCATCGGTACGGTAGTGGACTCAGCTGGAAGCAGTGGCCGGAAGACCGAATACCATGGTCAGGATTACGACTACGTCTTCGATGTTGACATAGAGGATGGCAAGCCTCCGCTAAAACTACCATACAATGTCACGCAGAATCCATATGAAGCTGCCACCAAGTTTATTGGAGACAATGAACTCCCTATGACCTATTTGGACCAGGTTGCCAACTTTATCACTCAGAATACTCAAGGTGCCACTATCGGGCAGTCTCAGGAACCTGCGGGTGCTGATCCTTGGGGCTCAGACCGACGTTACCGTCCTGGAGACGCCGCAGCGACTGAAGAGCCTCAGCCAACTACTCCCGAGCCGCGCCCTAAGGTGCTTCCCCAGAAGGCCTATCTCTCAATCCGCTCAGCGAACCTCAAAGTTATCACGAAGAAGCTTCAGGAATTGAATGCGAAACTCGTGTCTGATGGATCAAAGGACGTGGCTTTGAGCCCCTCTGAGGTGGAAACGGTTATCGCCTTGTGCGGTCAGCTCGAATCTTCCCAACAGCTCCAAGTTTCACCCGAGGTTGAATCTGGAGTGCCATTGATTCTGAAGATCGCCACAACATGGCCTGCCGCTAACCGACTCCCTGGCCTAGATATTCTCCGTCTACTAGCGGCTGCTGCGCCATTTACAGCATCCGCCGAGTACAAAGATGAAAATGTTGTGTCGGGTGTGATATCCAGCGGTGTTTTTGAATCTCCTCTTAACGTCAACAATGCAATGCTCGCGATGCGGACATTTGCTAATCTATTCGAGACCACTGCCGGCCGTGATCTGGCCATAAGCTCATTTGATCAGATCCTGGCAGGAGTGAAGTCTGCTTTGATCAGCAGCGGAGAGTCACCAAACCGCAACCTTACAATCGCCATCACAACACTCTACATCAACTTTGCAGTTTATCTTACCTCCGAGGGTAGGAACCAATCTCCAGAATCCGCGGAACGAGGTCTGGCCCTACTGGAGGAACTGACGCGGATCGTCGCTGGAGAGAAGGACTCAGAGGCGGTTTACCGAGCACTAGTCGCGCTCGGCACACTGGTGACAGCGCTCGGAGAGGAGGTTAAGAGCGCCGCCAAGGAGGTCTACGAGGTCGAAGTTGTTCTCACGAGAGCCTCGGCCTCTGGCCCTGGAAAGGAACCCCGCATCAAGGGCATTATTAGCGAGATCCGGAAGGCTCTCTGAGAGTGCGTGCTATTTTCTATTCGGTATGCATAGATCAGAGATGTATTACCTCCTAACGACGACAACGCGATTCCCATACAATGGCTATTCATTACCTTCTCTTCCACTTCATACTAGATAAATCGTAAATGTTCTTTCGTGCTCGAAAAAATCGACTTCAACTAGCATCTCAACAACCCATCTGCTTGTTCCCTTACAATCTACCCGCTGCATCAACGCCAATCTCCAACACCTGCTCAACGCCCTGATACTTGGGCAAATCAAGCCCATACTTATCAGTAAGGTCCTTCGTCAAAAACCTACCACCGATAAAATGCCTGCCCCGATAAAACGCAATACACGGCTTGGGCGCAGAAAGGCTGACCAGCGCATGCGGCATGAACTTCGCGCCAGGTCCTTCCTTCGGTGGTCCGGCCTGGATATCCCACGAGCTGGGTGCATCGACACTCAGCACCTGGACGTTGGCGGATTCGATCTGTGAGACGATGTCACCGAAGGGATCCCGCAATGCTCCGCCGAAGGAGAAGCCAAAGATGGCATCGACCAGGAAGTCTGTTGTCTTTAGGGCTTGTTGGAAGTCATCTATGAAGGGGACTGAGAGGTTCTGTAGTTGGACTTTGAGGCGCTGGGTTGGATTAGATTTGCTGCTTGCTTGACGCTTCTAAGCTTCTTCTGCTTGGGGCTGCGTACTTGATAGAGCTCGTGTTTGCCCTGTTTTGGGTAGTACACCGATGGTGTGTACCCATAGTGGGCTAGGTGGCGAGCGGCTACCAGACCGTCTCCTCCTGGTGATTTGTCAGGTTGCTGTTGCTCGGAATGGCAAGGCTGGAGTTGGTTCTCACCATTGTTGCCTGGTCCACAGACAACTAGGATATTTTTGCCTGCGCTGGGGGGATGGGTTTTCCATACTGATTGCTCGTTATATAAGTCTAGCCTGAGTGCACGTTCAAAATCGATGGAGCTTACCAGCTTGCGAGACCGAGAGGCCCGCTAGCTCCATCAACTGGTCCAGAGACCAGCCGCCTACCTCCATGAGGTCTTTGTCAAGTGACGCGGCATCTGTGGCCGAGATTGCCTAGGATATTGTTCAGTTTATATGTTTTTGGAACTAATATCAGACAACTATACCTTCAACGACATTATTGCTGGTTTACTGTAGCGACGAATGGATAGAGATAGACGAAGATGGGTGAATGTAGAATGGATCATGTAAGTATGTTACCGACAGAGCTAGTCTTTCGCCTAGTTGGGTAAATTGACAGAAACTGTGTAAACCAAAGTGACACCAAGCTCCGAAGTAGATCTACTGAGGGTCCTCACACCATTACATCATATATGCGCTAGTCCATATTTAGTAAACTCGGATCAATGATTCTTCCGCACCTCCTAGAACTTTTGCGGAGGGCAGACGGGATCATCATAAGAACAGTCTTGTGCTCTCTACAATTGAAACAACATTACATATCCGCCAAAATGGTCCTCAGGATTCGACTCGCGCGCTTTGGCAACAAGCACAATCCCTTTTTCAACATCGTCGTTGCACAAGCCCGGTATGTGGTTTTGCCCTGTGAATGGAATACCCCCGATACGCCCAGTCTCCAACGCCAAACACAGGAGTTACCAGGCTAGGGAGTACTTCAATCCATTGCGCACTATATCTTCAAGAAGAATTGAAATTGACCCTATTATATTCAGCTCCGCCCGCGGCGCTAAGCCCCTCGAAGTCATCGGCACCTACAACCCCATCCCGAAACGTCCCACGAACTTGTACGACGAGAATACTGATGCTCGCCCATATAAGGAGATCGCCCTTGACCGGTCACGCGCAAAGTACTGGCTCGGTGTGGGTGCGCAGCCTAGTGATCCCGTCTGGAAGCTGATGGGCATGGTAAGCCTGACCCTTGGTTTCTTTATCCGCCAGAGTTTTGGGAATCGGAAGATCCGAAGGAGATGGGCGGCTATTGTCGGGTCAGCTTTTCAGCAGATCATATGGGCTGATGGGGATTATGTTGTTATTATACGGACTGTTTTCGCTAACTCTTGAATCTCTCTAGGCTGGCCTTGTTGCGCCCAAACCTACTACTTTTGACAAAGCTTGATTCTGCTTGTCTGACTCCTTGACTCTTTGATGCTGTGTGGCTTGCAGCATGCTTGACCTTTACATAGCTTTCCAAGGTTCTCCCCTCCGACATTCTTTGTGTACTCGGCCGAACAACATCCGAGAACCTTGGAAAAGTCAAGGCATGGCACCATCGATGATGGGTAGGAATTCGTGCCGTGTTTCTATTTTCTTTCTCTCCTGATTTTGCTGGCATTTTTGGCGTTATTGAGTTGCCTTGTGGGAACCCTTGTATATTATGTGGCAGCCTGACTGCTCTGACTCTACGCGGTAGATGAGCTATAGCATTAATATCTACTGATACGACTTGAATTTGTCCTGAAGGACACATGTTGCCTAGGTAGGCACATACTTCGTACCGAGGTAGCCTATGCGTTACCAGCGTATTTTTCCATATACTGCTCATATATGTCTGCATTGTAGAGTCATGAGGTATAGAGATGCTACTAAACCACACTCAAACGAAGTAAATCTTAAACGCATCGGAAGATAGCCGAAGGTTGGGAATTGATCAAATCCAGTAAATTTGAAAGCCAAAACATTTGACGCGCATATGACCAGTTCAGGCACACGTTATGAAGAAGTAGTGCTAATAAAGCCCCTAAGCAGTAGCTTCTCTCCACGGCCCAACCAAATGGACCATCGCCCCCTCGATAAGCCAAGTCATTTCCCCGTGGCAGCCAATCCCATGTGTTACCGGGGTTGGGCCCGTGGCAATTGGTCAGCGACCCTGGAGGATCGCCGGCTTTTGACTTTCGTGATTCCGTGGACGTGTGCGACGACCTTGTATTTAGTTTATAAAATTGGTTAGATGCACTCCATACTCCGTACTCCAATATAGACATATGGCTTAAAGTATACCTAAGGTATTCAATATCAAGCCGTTGGCTCTCACAATCTGGGCTGGTTAACGGCAGTTGTAAATGTGTTCAAGGTTCATCCAATGAACTGTCAGCCTAGAGGTATTGTATGGATTTGGTACCAGTTTGCGGTTACCTGTTCTATCGAGTCTACATGTGGTAAAACATCCCTGTGATATATGTCTTTCATTTCATAGAGCCCCAACCGCATGCAGAGCCGGGGTACGGCAAGCCGCATAGGCACTTACTTGCATGGCCGGTGCTTCTCCAGAAGAGACATATTTATGATCCACCCGTAGATCTAATATACAGAGAACATCAAGAAGAGAAACCAAAAAAACCGGGGGCATTCCACAGTTCACCACAAGTCACCTCGGGGCACGCACTTGGCAACTCTCTGCATGCGGTCGGTTTCCAGGGCTAAGGTGTAAGACTACGTAAAATTGTGTAAGGATGTGACCATGTACTGTCATATACTCTAGAGTACATCCTCTAATAGGAGGGTCCACATATAACCCCATGTACCTCCACTGTCACATACCTGTTCCCCATTGAGTCGCGTCGTGAAGGGCAGATCCATGGATCTGGCACTTGTGGACTGGCACTCGACCGTTCCGGACTCTTTTCTTCCCCCCTCCCCTGCACTCTCCTTCATCCCCTCCTTTCAAACCTTTCTCCCCTTTGCATCCATCTTACCATTCTTGTCAATTTCCATCTTTATCTCAATCGTTTTCGCAGCGCTCATAGTCCAACCTGTCGCAAATCCGATGAGACACCATCCGAGTGAACTCGACTTTCGATCGAACCGCTAATCACGTTCGCCTTCGCCTTCGCCTTCGCCTTTCATTTCTATCGTTGCATCGCGTTTGGTGTACGAACTCTTGTCGCATTACCGATCACTGCCTCGAACTTCGACTTCCCAAATTCTGCGACTCGTTTTTCTCCTACCTGGACTATCTTCCCCTGTGTGATCGCGAACCCCCGAAAGGCGAAAAAAAATTTCAAAAAATTTCGAATCTCGTGGAGGGATGAGCGGCAGCTCTAGCCAGTCCACTCGTACGAGTCCCGGCTCTTTTGGAACTACGCAGCTCACAGAGTCCGTGTCATCTGGTTCGCCCCCACAACAGTCACTCCCTTCTTCGCAGGCGCCTTTGACGGCTCAGCATGCGATGTCGACCGACGTGTATAGTCCGAATGCGTCGCAAGCGCCTTCATCTATGAACCCATCTTTCTCATACCCTTTCTCCCCTATCGGTACAACAGCTTCATTCGATAACAACATGCGCTTGGGCGATAACGATCGCAACCTCCAGGGCCTGAATGGCCTGAATCGCGGAAACGGAGGCGCGATTCTCATGCGCAAACTGCCGCGAAACACGAGCCGCGAAGCCCTTCGCAGCATGCTTCTTTTCGCCAAAGACTTTGTCGACGCGGACTTTGTGACATTGGACCTGCCGGAGGATGACGGGTTTTTGACCGCGATCGCGCGATTCATTACTTTGCCAGCCGCCGAAGAGGCCAGGTCTCTCCTTGATGGCAAGCCGAACTCCAAAAACGACGCCAACATGGTCGTCGAGATGTACCCCGGTCCGATAGGAGCGAATCTATCAAACACGCGCCGTAACACCATCGATCACACCGCGAGTCGTGCGTTAATGGGTGCCTCAAACGGCCCCCTTGCGCGTCAATCGTCGCGCTTCAACGGCACTTTCCAGAGCTTAGAGAGGCTCTCCAATGCCAACCCCAACCAGCCTATCGGCGAAGGACTCCCTCCGACCTCGGAATCAGGCTCGCGTATGCACAGCCTTTTCTCCCCACAATCTCCGATCGGAAATGGCATTGATAACCTCCCACGCATAACCGGGAAGTCTATGATTGATGAAGACCCAGACGAGGAGACGGGCGAGCTGCTCAAGGATCCGGTGGGCTATGCAGAGAATGGCCATTCTACCAATGTCTCCGCCGGACGCCGGGCCACCAACCCTCAAATTCCGACCAACCGCTTTGCCAATATGTCCCTGTCAACCAATATGTCGCCACCTTTACAGAACTACCCCGGGGGTGGCGCGCAACGCATGGGCGGTGGAACACCCGCATCTGCATACCCGAACCAGGGCCATAGTTTCCCATACAACGCTCAGCACACACCACGCCACAGCCTCCCCGCTGCGAACCCGAATGACCTAAACCCTCCTTGCAACACTCTGTACGTGGGCAACTTGCCACCTGACACTTCTGAGGAGGAACTTAAAGCCCTTTTCTCCAAACAACGCGGGTACAAACGACTCTGCTTCCGAAACAAACAGAACGGACCCATGTGCTTTGTGGAATTTGATGAGGTCGCCATGGCCAGCAAAGCGCTCAATGAATTGTACGGCTACAAGCTGTCGAACAGTGTCAAGACCGGCATCCGTCTCAGCTTCTCCAAGAATCCTTTGGGTGTGCGCTCTGGTCAACCTGGCAGCATGAACTCGTCCAACTCGGCCTCTGGACAGGGCGCAGTCCCTGGAGGCAGCAGCTTGAGTGGAATTCACAACAATATGTTCTCGGCTGTCAACGGTCCCCCTCCTGGACTGGCAGCACCCCCTGGTCTCGGCATGCCCATGCCTGCGCCGCCGATGCGCAACGGCACCTCCATGCACACCCCCGTCAATCCGCATGCTGGACTAATGGGCAATGCCTCATACAACCCCAACTCGGGCCTGGGAATCCGAAACGGAGCCAATTCAATGATGATGTCGCCGCCGCCCCCTTCTAATTCCGGCGGTAACAACAATGCGGCACCGAACCTGAACGGTTATAATTCCTTTTACCCTGATTACATGATGGGTCGCTAAGCCCATTCAAGCGTTATATTAAGATAATGCCCGGCATGTTTGAACGAACTGGGATATCTGGCGCATTTGGGGATCTTCATTTCGTGAGCTAGATCAGCATTCGGCGGCTGCATAACTCTCGGGAGTACTGTTTCGGATTTGCTTTTCTGTTTTTACCCCCTTCTTTTTCTGCCAGTCCTTTTTCTTGGCTTTTCGTCTTTCTGTTGCATAGGAACCTGGGCGCTCTTACATTCCTTTTTGTTATCTTTTTTTCATTGGGAGGATTGCATTTCAGGTCATTGCCAAACTTGTATTCTTATCCGGTCGGTGCGAGGCGCTCGAGAGCGCGTTTGTTTCTTCGGCCGTTGCCTTTTTTTTCACACCTTCATACCCCCGTGATTTCTTGCTTTCGTTCTCGCTTATCTCGTTCCTTTATCCTGACTCAATAGGCAATGCACACTAATGCGTGTTCGCTGCCTGCCCTAACCAGGATCTATACGAGCTGTTATCTACTTTATTCCACGTGATTCCCCCTGTTTGTTACATCTATCCCCTGGATCTTTCTCGATGCATCGTCTGCGTGGATCGGAAAGGATTTTGCTGATTTACTTGCTTTCTCTATTGCAATGCGTGTTTATTTTTATGCAAGTATGAAAAAAAGAAGGGTCTTATATGGCTTTCTTTAGCTTCTCTTCTAATATCTCTCTCAAATGGCATGAGCTACGGAAGGACATGACATCGGCTCACGTCCGCCACATATTGTCCCAGGCGTTCGCGTTGGTTTTATTTCTCTCCTGCCATATTCCTCTCATCTCGGCAGAGACGAAGGCGTCCGGCCCATACATTTTGCTCGAAAGCTCTTCTCTCATCTTGCTTGCATTGCTCCTCGTTTTGCTTTGGGTCTGGCTTACTCTGCTTTTCCAGAAGAATGAAGAAACGAGGCGTGTCTATTATCTTTTTACTCTTCCTCTTGCCCCGTCTTCCTTGGGGGTATCATACCGATACATTTGCTTCGATGTGTACTTGATACAATGAACTGGTTCCAGTAACTCTGGAGAACGAGCCCATTTAATCCATCTATAAATAATGCTGAGGTATCGTGGGACACTCTTTTTTTCATATTATGGACGACTCTTCATATATTTTATGTTATCTGTCCATCAGATCCTGTAAGGCTTCTACTGCAACGTAGATATAGTTGTGAACTATTTAAAGAGCTTTATTACTACGTTATGAGTCGCAATATTGGGAATAGGATGCAGATGTTTACTTCGGTTGTATACAGTGGAGATGGTATCACGTGACTACACTACCGAGAAGTTTCTTCCCCTGCAGACACCTACGCTTCCCGCTCCAACCCGACAAAACTCCCATTCTTCGATTATTGCTGCAAAAGGGTCAATGGCAGCTGGAACTCCTTGATTCTTAATATCCAGTGTCCTTCGTTCAGCCATTAAATTTTCCCTCCTATTCCCCCATCATATTCTCCAAGATGCCACCCCGGATGCAGAGCCGGAGTGTGTCCAACACCCTTCTTCCCTACCTCACAGCTACCTCCTCTTACTCATCCTCACTTTCCTCCATTCCTTCATTATCCTCTACATCATCACAGTGTCTTTCACGCCAATTTTCTGCCACGGCAGCACCACAGGCACAGACCAAGCTTCGTCGGCAGATGTTCGAATGGCTTAACAATGAAGGATCCGTTTTCAAACATCACGTTCCTGGCGAAACCAACTATTTGACTCGCTTAAAACAGCGAGGCAACGAGGGTTCAGAGAGCCCACGCCCGTTCCCCAACAACCAAAATTTCTTCAGCGAGCCTATTCTCAGTGAGGAGCTGCGGAATGAGGTCTATAACCGCGTGGTTGAACAGAAGAAGAGTGTCCGCGTTGTTAGTGTGGAGCTTGGAATCGATATGAAGCGTATCGCTGCTGTCGTGAGATTGGTAGAATTGGAGAAGAGACAGCGCGCCCAGGTATGGACTTCTTCCCTTTCTGTTTTTCCTTTCCTTTCGCACTCTGCTTCGACCCTCCACGCATATGATGAGTCACAAAAAATCGATTAGTCTTGAAGACACCCACATGGTTAAACCTTACTTTTTGAACTGAACTGCGTTACCCTTGCACTTTGGATTCCTATCAAGTTTTATTTGGTCGCGTGACATGAACTGACGACTCTCGAAACAGGGTAAACCGCTAGCACTTCCATATGCCCGTGCCGTCCATGAGATGGTCCCAACTACACCCCTCGCCGAGAAAGGCGAGCGTCAGACATACCATGAACCCATCAACGACCTCCCCGCCCACCCCCTGACAGGCTCCCAAATCTTCTACCCAGTCCCCGAATCCCGCTCCTTCAACCGTGTCGAGGCGGGTCGCGTCTTCTCCGGCGCCCCAGCAATGGAGCACTCCGAGGCCGCGGAAATCTCCCACCCCTCCGACCTCGCCGAAAAGATCATGGAGGATGCCAACTCCATCGGCTGGGTCGGAAAGGGCGCCAACGCCCGCCAGATCCTGCAACCTGCTGATGTGCGCATTCCTCACCCTCACCTGGTTGCCCTGGAGCGCGACCGCCTCACGCACCCCAATGAGCGCCTCGCTGTTTCGGATCTCCAATCTAAGAGACTCGAGCGCCAGGACGCAATTGAGAAAGAGCGTCGTGAGCGCCTCCAGGCTCGCCGTGAGAAGAAGACGACTATTGTCTCCCCCGAGGACTCGCGCTTCGACTACCGTATCAAGGATACTATCTACACCACGGAGACCACTGGCGTTGATGGCCGTGGTTCGAAGGCTACTGGCCGTCGCTACGGTGTCCCTCACCGCGACCGCACACGCGGCGAAGTCAAGATTCCTACCCGTGTGGAGGCTTGATGTATTTTGAGATAGTTCCCCCGGGCTGTTTCGTTTTTTTGTGTTTTTCAGCAACTTTCTTGGCTACGGCCTGTGTAATTTTACTTGTACGCATACTCATCCATGGATGCACGAAGGAGGCTGTAACTTATGTACCTATATACCGGATAATGTCGAAACATTTCTCCTTCTATTTTGGACTTCCGATATAATAACAAGCCCGAGAAAACGTATCTCAGAAAGATTTAAATAATCACATGAGATGTTGGAGCTCGCATATATGCAGCAGCTGTGGACATCAAGTAGGGCAGTTCGTCCCATCAATGGGGAGCAGCCCTGGAGGGTCATGAGGCATTATATAATCGCGAGATTGAGATCGACTTTCTCGAGGAAATGTTGCAAGCTCGTCGAGACAAGCTGGCTTAGTTTAGTTAATCGGTTTCGAATCACATTTACCCCGTGCTTCTCGGATGCTTATCTCTCGCCTCGGGAACACTTGGTCATAGCATATCTTCATGCTAACTATCTTTAGAGTCAGGTTACATTATCAGGGAAATGATGTAGTACTTGAACGAGTAGTCAAAAATTCATCTTTGCCTTCGCTTTCTTCCTATCTGATCTCAAGAATTCATCTGAAGTTATTCCTATGCGCTTGCTCCACCGCAGTCGTCACCAGCACTATATACATGTACCAAAGATCGGTTCCATCCCTGCTCAACCCCGAAAACCCGCAAACTCCAACTTAGTCCGTAACGTGGATGTATCTGTAAGGCTTGGCCGTGTAACTACCAACCTTCCAACCAACAGGGCGCTTGTACGCAACACAGCCGTAAGTGCCACGGCACTCAAGCGTGTTGTACTCCTTCTTGGAACTATCGGCCCACGACTTGAACAGAGTGACGTGACCAGCAGCACCGCCAGTGCCAGAGCCCAGTGTTCCAACAAAGTCACCGGGCTGGAGGTCGTCCCACGAGATAGACTTAGCAATGTCCGGGAGACTGACGGTGCTGGCGCCTGGCGAAGCGGCGTGGAGAGCCATGCTAACGAAGCCGGAGCAATCCGTGCGGTATTTGCGGCCTTGAGGGTCCGGGTAGTAGTCGGTCATGGAGTATGGGATGTGGCGCGAGACCCAGTATTGGCCGCGGGAGAGAATCTCTTTACGGCTGATCTTGCCCTTGTACGATGAGCTGCCGTCGCCAGAGCTGCCGCCGTCACAGTCCTTGGTGACCATGCTGTCGGAGCCGGTCTTCACGTAGTAGTCGGAGACGTAGCAGCCGTCGTCTGTCTTGTCCCAGATAGAGTTGCCATTGACGGATTCGCCGTAGGTCTGGCATGAGATCTTGACGTCGGCGGCCTTTTTGTAAGTGGTGACAACTGCATCGCTCGTTGAGGGACCGGAGCGACAGTTGACTTGATCGCCGGTGATGGGGTACGCGTTGGCAATAGAGAAAGCCGCGGCTAGGGTGAGAGCCAAGTTGGTGAGCTGCATATTGGCGAATGGGCAAATTGACACAAGAGAAGGTGAAAGCTTTGAATGATTTGATACTTGTATCCAGAATATTTTGCATCAGGTCGGGCTTGGATACTTATACTTTCAATGCTGCGTCGATCTTTACCAGGTGCTGATCAGGGTGGGATTGAGCACTCACAAGATCGTCGAGGAGAATTTGTCTAAAATTAGTGCTAGGAAGTCGAACTTGGATCCTCTCATCCGCAAAGAGCTCGTAAGTTAGTCTCGTTTTCTCATAATACGAGGAATATGATGAAGATCAATCCTACCCTGGGGCTAAAACGATATTGTCGATGAAACATCCGGGACGAATACGATGTGAAGCCCTAAAGCTACGGATATGTTTCCAAAAATAGTCCCGTTTCTTCACCTCGGCCTCCTATACGAGCCGCAAGGGCGATCGGCAGGGTCTAACCAAACACGAGATTACTTGGCAGGGCGAGATCGAGAAGGCACTTCAATGAATGAGACGAAACACGATGTAACAATTATTTTCCGGATATGCTGAAAAAGGCTCGTTTCCTCACTTTGACCTCGGCCTGTACGAGTTGCATCAACGATCGGCAGGACTATACCTTTAAAGGATGCAAATCGCGAGGAAAACACGAGCTTGCTTTTTAATATCGATGAACGAGATGAAGATAGTTTAGTAGAAATGAATTGTCTTGGAATAGATATTCTATTCAGATACCAAGACATCGTCCTTCTCTCCCTTCGTTTATTTCCCTTTTTATATCCAGAAAGTTTCGAAGTACATACTACTCGCAAAGTAGTAGTTTCCCCAACCGTTCCCTTTTTTCTTTTCAAATTAAATATTTAGTGGGCTGTGAAGAAGTCAGCAATTGTTAAGGAAAAGGAAGTGCTATAGGATTCACATACCATCGGGCTGGGCCAGGATGTACTCGACAGCCTTCTCAATATGCGTAGTATTCATGTTAGCTCTGGTTGAAGAACTATAACGAGGCCATCAAATCCTACCGTACAGCTGTGGATCTGTTTGGCCTCCTCGTCAGGGATCTCAATGCTGAACTCCTGTTGAAATAGTTAGATATCCGTCATATCAATCGATAATATACAATTGATGCTTTTCCGAGGGAAACCTCCTCAATGGCCATCACGACCTCGACGGTGTCCAGGCTGTCCAGACCAAGGTCGTTCGAGAAGTGGGAAGCGCCGTTAATCTGTAGGTCAAATGGGTTCAGCTAATGAATTTTTTGCTCTTGAATTTGTATGTTGCACATTGTATACTTCAGTCAAATCTCCGCCAATCACCGATGTCGGTGATGACGCGACTGTCAGTGCCTGAGGTGTCCACATATATTCTCTCCGATACCTTTCAATTTGGGATTCTTTCTTGACTCACACAGATCTTAGGATCTTTTAGGATCTTATAATGCAGTCATTTCGAGGTGCTGCTCGAGCTGCTTCACGCACAATCCGAACCCAGCCATGGCGACAAGACAACTCTAGAGTTCTCGTGAAGTCCGCGGGACCGCATCGGACTTTATCAGCGCAATGGAAGACCACACGCCCATTGCATACCGTATCGCCGCGAAAGTCAGCATCGGTCGCCACGGAGTCAACTGACAGAGACTCGTCCAACCCAGCCATGTCGTTCCCCTGTCTCGACGCCCAAGAAGCAAAGTCAGCGCAGCTCTCCGCTCGGTCCCTGCAATCCGGCCCTGAACCTTCATACACCACCGGGCGACACGAATCATACCACTGTGAACAACCACTTCTGCTCGACTGGGGCGGTGTGCTCCCGGAATTTGATGTTGCGTACGAGACATGGGGGCAATTGAACGGCGACAAAAGTAATGCCATCCTCCTGCATACCGGCTTGTCCGCCTCAAGCCACGCCCATAGCACAGCGTCCAACCCAAAGCCCGGGTGGTGGGAGAAGTTCATTGGCCCCGGATTGCCACTGGACACCGATAAATATCATATCATTTGCACCAATGTTCTCGGAGGATGTTACGGCAGTACAGGCCCGTCTTCCCTCGACCCGTCCGACGGAAAGCGATACGCAACCCGCTTCCCGATCCTGACTTTGGACGACATGGTGCGTGCCCAGTTCCGGCTTCTTGACGGTCTAGGAATCAAGAAACTTGCTGCCTCTGTAGGATCCAGCATGGGCGGCATGCAGAGTCTCGCAGCAGGCGTCCTCTTCCCAGAGCGCGTTAACAAGATTGTCAGCATCAGCGGTTGTGCCCGCAGCCACCCTTATAGTATAGCGATGCGGCACACGCAGCGACAGGTGCTGATGATGGACCCCAACTGGGCGCGTGGGTTCTACTACGATGGAATCCCGCCACACTCTGGTATGAAGCTAGCGCGCGAGATTGCAACCGTGACGTACCGTAGCGGACCAGAGTGGGAGATGCGATTTGGTCGCCAGCGTGCAGACCCCAGCAAGCAGCCAGCTCTGTGTCCCGACTTCCTTATCGAGACGTACCTCGATCATGCCGGTGAGAAGTTCTGCCTGGAGTATGATGCCAACAGTCTTCTTTATGTCTCCAAGGCCATGGACTTGTTTGATCTCGGCCATGCCCATCAGACTGCAACTATGAAACGCCGCGCAGAGTCAGAGGATCGCATCGCGCACGGTGGTGACGCACCAAATACTTCCGACCCCGCTTGTAGTCTGACCCTTCCAGACAAGCCCTATGAGGAGCAGCCTGGATCAACCTCCAGTGTAACCCCGCTGGACGAGTCCGTCTCTGCTGACGCAATGGATGGCCCTCCCCGGGATCTCGTAGCCGGCCTTGCTCCTCTCAAGGATCATCCTGTGCTTGTCATGGGTGTTGCAAGTGACATCCTCTTCCCGGCATGGCAGCAGCGGGAGATTGCCGAGACACTCCGTGCTGGAGGCAACAAGAATGTTGACCATATCGAGCTTGGTGACGACTTGTCGCTGTTCGGCCATGACACTTTCTTGTTAGACCTCAAGAACATCGGTGGCGCATTGGGCAAGTTCCTGCGCTAGTCGCGTGGTCTGTCGTCCCAGGCGATGGAAAATAATATAAATTTGTAAATACATCGTTAAGCGTGCGACCTTTAGTATTTAGCAGGCGTTTTACATTTACGAATGGAAATGAGATACCTCCTCTCTGTTTTTACTTGCAGTTCTAAGGGATCGATGGACCTCCAGCCAGTCTATAGGTACATATTTAGCCATGGTATGGAAAAGGAACAGCAATTTCGATCCATTATTCCATTTGATTCTATCAAGATCATATAGGTACATGGTGAAGCCCACAAAATTAAAAAGGAAACTCGCCCTCAGGTTGCTCTCAGTTTTCATAACTGGCTTCCAGCTGTGCACACGGTCCACAGGCACGAAGTGCCATGCATGGAGCCGTCGTCAAGCAGATGCCTGCAGAATTGGCTTATGTTCGTCTCTAGGACGAACTCATCACAGGGCGAGGAGAAAAGAACAGAATGACACAACACCAAAGCCACAATTCCAGAATGCCACCACGCCCACAAGACAACAGAAGAGAACAAATATAAAATCAAAACCGAGAGCAAAAGCCAGGATATTTGATAAAGACGTCCCCAACATTTAGTTGACGAACTAGGAGAAACTAGAACGGCCTGTAGGAACAAGCCAACAAGACAAACCCTGAAAGTAAATCTTGAAGCTAGGGTCTTTGGTGAAAATTCAAAGATTCGCAAGACAAACCAGGAAATCTCAGAATGCCCATGATAGTCGAATAGGTACTTGTCGTCGGTCAGTGCCACCACCCTTGAGACATCAACTTAATGTATGCTCACTTGATCTTAGAGCTTGAAAGGTGGTTAAAGGTGAGGAGTAGAGAGAAGGAAAGAGACAATATGGATCACTGTCGGAGCTTCCGAAGTTGCAGCGTTAAACCACCCTTAATGTTAGACGCAAGATCAACCCATTGGGCTATATGGTTCTATCGTTCCAGTATTCGGATCAAGAATTGCTGAGAGTGCCAGAGCAATGTTATAGGAATTATTTATCTCGGGATGATCATGACCGATTCTGGATACGAGCAAGGAGCACCTCATGTGGGGTGCTCTGACAAAACTAAGTGGTTGATATAACTAGCAGGACCATTGCTTGTTAATAATGTCAATATACATCAAAAAAAGAGGACAAAGGACAAACAAAGAACGAACAATATCAAAGAAGGTATACAGGGGATAGTTTTTAAGTTACATTTCACCTAAGACCACGTGAGCGGCTCCACCTAGCCTATAAGCTGCTTCCGGAGTACGCAATCCTTTTTATGCTACTCGTGGACATCTAGCAAAACTGGCCAGCAAGGCGATAAATTACTCGCTGCCAGACAGCGTGGTCTGCCTTTTTGACTCAATCTCTCCTGTTCTGTGGTACTAGTGACCGACAATTCTTACTGGGGTTTTGACGCCTCCTATCCTGATTCTGGGTTGACCATATCTTCGACCATCGAGGTCACATCCAAGATTTCCGCATATCGATATGTCACCCTCTCGATTTCTTTAGCCTAGGATTTGGAATTTCTCTGCCACACTCGCCGAACGAATCGCATACCAAAACCATTCGAATTCCCCGAGCTTGCGGATCACGGAACAGAAAAGCACAGAGACCTCGATTCCTACCTTCCAGCCAATCTACGGCTGTCGCAAGACCAACGAATTATTTTCCGACTGCACCGGCTTAATCGCCTGTCATGATCACTCCGCGCAAGGTGCTGCTCGCCCTGCTCAGCGTGGTCACCTTTGTTCTCATCCTCCGCTCGTTCCGAGATCCCGAAGTTCCCGGGGCACCTGGGTACAGACCAGTGAAGAAGATATCACAAGAAGAGGATGAAGTAATAGCAAATTTAGCACGGAAAACACCACCGCAAGCTCGAGCTCAATTACCCCTCGGCGCATCACCGACAGCGCCGCTTCGCGAACGCCTCCGGTATCAATTCCCCTATGAAATCGAAAACAAATTCCCCGCATACATCTGGCAAACATGGAAATACAACCCTGGGTCATTCTGGTTTGACGAAGACCTTCGCGGCCTGGAGGCCAGCTGGACAGAGATGCACCCCGGGTTCACGCATGAAGTCATCCCCGACGAGACACAGCAACACCTGATCAAGTATCTATATGGATCAGTTCCGGAAGTATTCGAGGCATATGATTCCCTGCCACTCGCCGTCATGAAGGCGGATTTCTTCCGGTACTTGGTTCTCCTAGCCCGCGGGGGAGTATACAGTGATATCGACACTTCGGCACTGAAGCCCGCGCACACGTGGCTCCCCGAGGAACTTGATCGATCAACTATCGGATTCATTGTTGGAATTGAGGCTGATCCTGATCGCGATGACTGGCATGACTGGTATTCGCGCCGTCTTCAGTTCTGCCAGTGGACCTTAGTGTCTAAACCTGGGCATCCGATTCTTCGTGATATGGTGGCTTATATCACCGAGCATGCTCTGCGAATGAAAAAGGCTGGCATTCTCAAGGCTGGCAAGATGGATAAGACTATTATGGAGTTCACGGGCCCTGGAGCCTGGACAGATTCTGTCTTCCGCTACTTCAACAACCCGTCATACTTCAATATCCAGCCGGGTGATAAGAACATTACATACGAAGACTTCAGTCACCAGACTACACACCGAAAGGTTGGGGATGTGGTTGTTCTACCAATTACCAGCTTCAGCCCCGGCGTGGGGCAAATGGGTGCGGGGGATCCAGATGATCCCATGGCTTTTGTGAAGCACAATTTCGGAGGTACGTCTTTATCTTTAACATGTTCGTTTAGTCTCATGTGGACATGGTACTAAAATTTCAATTTCAGGCACATGGAAAACAGACCCGTCGCTATGAAAAATGCCGCAAGCTTATTTTATTCGATTTCAACACTGTACACTGTACAATATCAGAGACCTATTGCAGCCCTTTGTTTGCAGTTCATCTCAACCTTTGCTCTGATTCCGTCACCCACGCCTCTCCTCTATATCTCTTGATTGTCTCTGCTCCCGTCGCACCCTCGAATCTCCGGCATCGAACTGTCATCATCGGTGACTGAACTCAGGCGCAAGCTCTAAACCCGTTCCATGTTTCATGATACCTGTCCATATGATTCCCCCACTTTGTTTTTCATTGTTATATACACTGTTCTTTTACATTGTTTTTGCTTGGTAAATGGTTTGCTACTAGCTACAGTAGCTGCTTATAGATTTCAGTCTCATTGTTTTCATAGCCAAAAGGCAACTTTTCGAAAATTCCCATTGCATGGGCATGAAGATTTTGCTACGATTTCCTGATATCCATTATACGAGCCTAGAGGGCATCTCACATACGACTACATATGTTGCATCAGTGCATGTCTTATCTGAGTATTTCAGAGGAAATTCTTAGGAGCCACCACGACAACTGGCTTTTTGCCCGGCAGAATATAGTAACGTACCCGGGCATGAGTGTAATTATTTTCACATGACTTTTAGAATTGCTTGATTTCAATATGAAACTGCTACCTAGTCCTGACCGATCTCTGGCATCTATGGGTATGACAGTATGTGACATGCAGGTTGCGACAGCTAATTCTTCTTATCCTTCTGACTATAGCACTAAAGAAGGGAAGAAAGTCTACAAAAGAAGTACACATAACGGGATACCTAAGAGTACGTCTAAAAGACTACCAAAACAGACTACCCAAGAAAACATAACAAGGCCGTATCAGCGGCTAACTACTTTTCTTATATACTACATATATATACTATATAGGTATGAGTCGAGGTGTAAAGGTGGTGTAGGCGGTTTGTCGTGACGGTCCCTAAAAGCTTTCGTACATGTGTTTGGTATCGGATTAAATGTACAAGCATTTCTCATTGTGCAAGGGCCCCAATCTCCGGAGTCCAACGCCAAATCAAAGGGCAGTGCCAGATCTAACTGTAAATTCCGAAGTCACATATACCTTTAAGTTCTCCGCTTCCGACAATATATGCTCCTCGCTATCCCCATCGTTCGTCTGCGCCCCGGATCGAATATCGGTAACCTGGCGCCCCTCGGACTCATGTATAGGCTCGAAATTGCTCTTTTTGCGCGCAAGGCCCGATCCAGTCCCCGTGCCTTGGCGAACAGAGCCAAGCGCATAAGTACGCGAAGTGTCGCGGTTTCGGTATGACGTGACAGTGGAAGCGAAGGACTTGAACAGAGGCCCGTAGGTGGGAATGCAGGCGACGATAACCTACACATTTTTGATACGTTAGTTTTGCTTGGACTTGAAGAAATATCAAAAGTGAACTCACGCCCAGACTGGTCTCCACGCAAGACCAGATCACGATATTCTTGCTGTCGGTGTAGGTTGTCAGGTCCTTGACTGTGAAGATTCGGATGACCTGGATCACGGTCACGAAAAAGCCGAGAGCAAACAGGCCGGCTAGAAGGGCTTTTTGTTTGAGGCGGAGCTGGAGTTTCCAAAGGACTGGCAGAGGCAGTGCTATGATTATCAGGTCTAACACGATGCTTGTGCCTGCAAGGGCAAAGTAGAATGGTATCGTTTGGATGCAATGCCCCTCGAGAGAATTATCCCATTGTTTTGCTACCTATTCAATGTCAGATAACCAGTTCTCTTCAATTGATGCGCACTGTCGAGGAGGAGCTGACCGGTATGCAGGAGATTGATATGATAAAGGTGAAGATCAATTGGTTAATGACACAGACGACGATGGCGACAATTATGATTTTGCGATATCGCTCGATAATCCCCGCAATGCGCAGGTAGGAGGTCAACAACGCGACTTTGAAGCCGAGGACAGCGAGACAGTAGATCGGGCCGCCGGCGTATTGGATCTATAGACCAAAGTTAGAGTCAGGATCGAGTTCGAACAATCTTGGTCTTGCGATGCACACCCTGCTAAAAGGAATAACATTCTCCTTTGGAAAATAGGCTGCGCTAAGTCCTTGGCCCCATCGTGTCTCTGAAACAGCCACTCCGTCAGTTTGGCAGTTAACCTTCGCTAATCAATGAATTGACTCACGAGCCACGGCGACTCCTGCGTATGCTAACGTTAACAGCGAACCCGCCAGCACCGCATAGTCATCAATCCATGGAGAGCGCTTGTTGCTTATTCGCACGTAAAATCGCAGGCATACGGCCAGAAAGGCTAGAATTGAGCATACCAAGCAGACCCCGATCACTCGCGGAATATCGCTGTTTGGATCGGTCTCGTGGAGGTTGTATACCCAGCCCATGACTCAATCATTATCACGAGTAAGGGGATTTGGCAGCCTCTGCAAGGGGATGTGGTATTCTTATTCATAATTATTTTGGAGTCCACAGACCATCCGTACACGAGAGCATGATTTCATGAGGCGGGTGGGGCGGTGGGGGCTTATATCGGCGTAATTAAGTTGCAACGAACTAGATTCACAAACGATGGAAAACAATATGGGTATAAATTAGAATTTGCCAATAATGGTTTTTTTATGGAGCACTGTTTTTGTCTCTCGCATTAGCTAGTTGCCTACCTCGGTAGAATATGAGCAAGCCACTAGAATATGATTTTGCATTATTCATTCTATGGCCTGTGTGATTTAGCAAAAGGAAAGGATCAATATTATCTCCACATCTTCTAATTTAGAATATCTTTTGGAACATCGAAGTAGAAAGCCACACGTGCAGATATATTAACCGAAAAGGGAAAGGCGATATTATCCGTAAGCGACAAGCTGGGCAAGCGCGGAGCATGGAACCATGGAATGTCTCATCTTTAAGTTTGCTGGATTGCAGATCTTCCAAGGTTCCAGCATTGAAAAGGCTGGTGGGGGAAAGAAGGATTTCCATGAGTGGCTGGTTCTGTCCAATAAGTTCCGGAACAATCTCCAGGTCTAGCAAGACCAAAGTGTGGATTAGCTGCAACATATATTGCCCGCATCAATACTGTGGATTCTACTATGATTTAAGCCAATAGCCCCTGACGGCTAGCTTTTCCGTGCATAAGATCGGAATATTTAAGAGAACCTGATACACTTGCATGAACCCAATTCGTTATGTTTTTCCGCGCATCCTTCATTGCTTCGCTGTTGGCAGTTCTGCCTAAGGCTTCAGCATCATCGGCATGCAAGTGCTTTCCTGGGGATCCTGCCTGGCCCACTGAGAATGACTGGTCTCAATTCAACGAGACCATCGATGGCCGACTAGTGAAGACCGTGCCTCTCGGTACACCTTGCCATGATCCGAACTATAATTCTGAGGCTTGTGCAGTCTTGAAGGACGGGTGGCTACTTCCCGAGGAGCAGTATGTGGCTTTTGCATGTAAAATAACACGAAAGGGCCAGTACTGACTATATTTCTGACAGCTATGAATCGTCTTCCTCGATTATGGCGCCGTTCTTTGCTGAGGGGGCTTGCGATCCATTCCACCCCGTCTCAAAGCCCTGCACACTAGGCAACTATGTGCGCTACGGCGTGAATGTCACCAGCCCGGCTCAGATTTCCAACACTGTGAAATTCGCAACGAAGCATAACATCCGTCTTGTCATCCGTAACACCGGCCACGACTACAATGGCCGATCCACTGGCGCCGGAGCCCTTGCAATCTGGACTCACCACCTGAAGGATCTGTCCATCGACTCTTACAGTGACGAGCACTACTCCGGAAAGGCCATTACTATGGGCGCTGGAATCCAGGGCTACGAAGCTTACGAGATCGCCGAGAAGACTGGCTACCAGGTCGTTGGCGGCGAATGTCCCACCGTTGGTCTTGCCGGTGGCTACACCCAAGGAGGTGGCCACTCCGCACTTGGATCCCGCTACGGCCTGGCCGCCGATCAAGTCCTGAAATGGGAGGTCATTGACGGCGAAGGCAACTTTATCACTGCTACCCGCGACAATGAGCACTCCGATATCTTTTGGGCTCTTAGCGGTGGCGGCGCGGGGACTTACGGTATCGTCTGGTCCATGACTTCGAAGGCACACCCTGGAACTCCTGTCTCTGGTCTGAACCTAACCTACACGAATGAGGGTATCTCTCAAGATACCTTCTACGATTCCATCGAGACCTTTCACGCGACGCTGCCCGCTATTGTGGACGCAGGTGCTATGAGCGTCTGGTACTTCACCAATGCCAGCTTCTCTATTGCTCCCATCACCGGTCCCAACATCCCTGTCGCTGACTTGGTGACGCTCCTCAAGCCCTTCACCGACAAGCTCGACAAGCTCGGCATCAAGTACAATACGGTTTCCAAGCAATACGAGAGCTACTACAGCCAGTTCAAGGATATGCAGGGCGTCATCCAGGTTGGCACTGCCCAGTATGGAGGTTGGCTAGTCCCGAGATCGGTCGTTCAGGACAACAACCACGCCCTGCTGACTGCCTACCGTGAGATCACCGAGGCGGGCGGCACCTTCATCGGCGTCGGCTTGAACGTCTCCCACAAGGTGTCAGGAGACGTCCACAATGCAGTCCTCCCTGCTTGGCGGGACACCCTGATTGATACCACTTTGACGACTCCATGGGAGTGGGATAACTCTGCTCTCATGTTGGAGCGCCAGCGCCAAATGACTGAGGATTTTATTCCTAAGCTGACTGCGCTTTCTCCCAAGTCCGGTGCTTATATGAATGAGGTATGTAAACTGACGTGTAGCTCCAATTTCTTTCATTATTGTGTACACAAGCTTATCGTTTTGACAGGGTGACTTCCAACAGCCCAACTTCAAGGAGGTCTTCTATGGTACCAACTATGATACCTTGCGCAAGATCAAGGCCAAGTATGATCCGAACGATATCTTCTACGCCAGAACCGCCGTTGGGTCTGACGAGTGGACCGAGAGCGAGGATGGCCGCTTGTGCAAAGCGATCTAAGAAGAACCTAATTGGATTGAAATTGTGTATAATTTATCAAAGGTTTAGATCCCACTCATGGGCTAGATAAATTGCGGTGTGGTGTGAGATGAGATTGAAGTATACTTCAAGGCCCACCACATCAGGTTGCCATCGGAAGGATCTACGTATATAATTCTACTATACTCAAATTTCCCTAAACAAGAAAATAGACATTCTCAAAGACGATCAAAAACGTGATTTCTAGCTTCTATTAATAAACACTGCGATTATCAGATGATTATGTAGGTACGTCCATCCTAGACATACCTAACTGGGGCTAACCATGACCATATATGCCCAAGATGAAAATACCTACACGTAGATGCACCAAGCAATATCTTGAGTAGACGATATTGAAATCCCAAATATAAACGCAACCACCTATATAAAATCGCGATCCACCACCCATGACTATGTAAGTAATGTTATCACTTTACGATGAAAAGAGAGTCAAAAGAAGATGGCATAAAAACGCTCCCATTCACAAGATTGCGTCTAGAAACCTTGCGAGGTTGCTGAGGTTGGGGAAGAGTATGGATTCCAGGTGGTCAATGTCCATGACCATGATCAACACAAGGTGTCTGCAAAGGGAAGTGTATGTGAAAATAAAGGAAAAACAATACTGCCCGGGGTGGTCTCCATACTGTTGTCCACGAGTGTGGACGTGCGGCAAGGTCAAATTATGGCGGTTATACCGGCTGACTAGCACGGTGAGATGCGTGATATCCCCCGAGACCAGATTCGCCACAGACAGACATGCCAAGGGCTGTCATGGGATCCCATCTGAAAGCAAAAAGTCAAGATCGGCGCGGAGTGATCGCGAATGATCGCGAATGATCAGGCGTGCGGTCTCTGCGTGGAGGAGCATTCGCTCACCGGGGAGGCGTCCGTGGGGGTTCCCGTGGGGTTAGAGAGAGATGGTCGTCATCTGAGATGTCGGAAGAATGAAGTTCGGTGAGAGCTTGATGGGCTGTAATGGCAAACAAATCTTTCAGAAGTCACTGAATAATGGCTCGTACTTCTTCTTCAGATCCTCCGTGTAAATGTTCGTGTTTCTGAGGTCGGGGGGATCCGGGTATTCTTCAAAGTTACCCGTGTCCGCGGGGTGTGATAGGCGGGGTATTATAGGTCCTTTCACCCGCCGATAAAACAAATCATCCCAAATGACATCTTGAAAGAACGGATGGGACTTGACTCGAGTCGAGCCACCAGAGATGTGGCCCAGTCGTTCCGTCGGATTCGTTTTACAGAGTAGGGAGACGATGTTCTGTGCTGCAGCCGGCATATTGGGTGGGAAGCGTAGACGGCCTTCGATAATCTGCTCGTAGATGCGCATAGGGTTCTGATCCCAGAAAGGAGGCTGTCCGATCAAGAATTCGTAAATCAAGATTCCAAGAGCCCACCAGTCCACTGCAAGTCCATGGCCGCTGTTTTGGATGACCTCTGGAGCTAGATATTCCGGTGTGCCGCATAATGTGTATGTCTCGCGATTATCGACTTGCTTCGCAAACCCGAAGTCAACAAGCTTGAGGTGACCATCGGCATCCAACAGGATATTCTCCGGTTTGAGATCTCGGTAGGCAACTCCGTGAACGTCGTGCAGGAACTCGATTGTCATTGCTATTTCGGCGGCGTAGAACGTCGAGACTTCTTCGCTAAAGCGTCGTTGTCGTCGTAGATACGTGAATATTTCACCCCCAGGACAATAGTCCAGCTAACAATTGGTCAGCACCTTGTCATCATCCGTATTCCGAGTTGCAAAAAGAAAGTTTGCCATACCAGCATGTAGAGGCACTTCTCATCCGAGAATGATGCAATCAATGTGGTAATGAATGGGTGGTCAACGACCGCTGCGAGCGCCTTCCGCTCGTTGCGCACATGTTCCACTTGCTTGAGTTTGATCACTTTCCAGTCGCAATCAGCACGAGTAATCCCTTGCCATGCGCAACGTTAGACAAAGTGGCGCTTACCGTCCGCCTTTCGAAGAATTTTCAACGCATAGACTTTGTCCTTGTCCTTTTGGTCTTTTAACCTTGCGAGCCACACCCGAGCGAAAGTGCCTATACGATGAAAAAGCATGAACCGTCAGATGCGACACTTGTAAGAGAGGTTAGGCCACGCGCTGACCGGTTCCAAGAGTCTTGACGAGCACAAAATCATTCACATGCAAACTCCTCGAGGAGATGCACAGTTGCTTCTCGTCCTGGCGCTCTGTGATGAGGAAAGGGTTCGAGGATCGCGGAGAAGGGCGGAGGGACTCGACGAGTTGCTTTTCCCTGTGATGTAGGTTGCCATTTACCTTGGAAAAGACCATGGTTCCTGGCGCCTCATTTGGCGAATGTTGCACTGCTCCGGTTGCCATTAGAATGGTCAAAGATCATGTCGCAGTAGAAGGGAAAAAAAGTCGTATGGAGACCCGTTTAGCGCGCCACCAATCGGCAACACAGGTTAATTCCGCGTTTCAGATCATAAAGAACATTGAGGTTCGACTGTTTGAAAGAGTCTGGAGTTTCAGAAAAATCGCGGGGCAAAGAGTTGTAAGAATGGAAGTTCTGCCTCTGACGTATTTACTATTGGGGGCGGGGTTGAACGGGAAGAAACTACGATGATAAACCGGACTCTGAGTAAGCTCTTAGCTTTGATTCGACCCGATTCTATACAAGATTCCTTTGGTTGTACACTGGAAATAAGAAAGTATTCGATTCAGAAATCAGTCGGTCCATACCCCGATTCAGTCCCATGGCCATTATCTGTCCTGGGTACGTTTTTGGTGCATATTTATTAGATGCGCGTGGTGTCGTTCGAGCTCAGGATGACCGATAGCAGATGAAGAAGTGTTATTTAATGGATTGTCGTATGGAATCGCTCAGCCTTCAAGACTTTGAGTTTAGGATCAAACCAACAATCAAGCTGACCACGTTAGTAAGAGTAATCTGAAGAACCTGACTCAGAAACATACCCGTAAAGGCCAAGAACTTCGCCGAAAATCAGGATGAGAATCATCCCCACATAGACCCGAGACTGCTGCATGTATGCTCGAACACCCTGGAGTAGCTGTTAGGGCTCCAATAGTCCTCTCACGTTGCCGCGCATATATGGTCCTTACTGCATCGCCCACAACTCCGATTGTATAACCAGCAGCCACACCCGTAAGACCAACTGACATTCCAGCGGCAAGATGCATGAAACCTCTGTGCAGTGTCAGCTTGTGCCAAGCTCTGCATGCACCGAACTCTTGAAAACGTACGTGTACAAGCTCATATTGGTTGTTGGGCCCACTGCTTGCGCAATGAGCACGGCGATAACGAGACCGTAAACTGCAATGATACCAGACATAACAACGGGGATGAGGGACTGCAGTCAGAAATAGTTAGCTACCATCCTGTCCATCACGGAACCAGCGAACCTGGGTAAATGGTTTCTTACCTTCATGATGAGATCGGCCCTATAGGTTCCCACACCTGCAATTCCAATGCCAGACTTTGCTGTGCCATAGGCTGCTCCTGCCGCTGTGAGATTGTAAGCTGTTGTCCAAATACCTAGAACCTAGAGAGCTAGTTCCATCCACGCGAGGTATTTCACGTACACCCGAAGATCATCTACAGGGAATTGTTAGTATATAGTTGAATGGAAATGAGGATATGAATTAACTCACTGCAGCGGCAATGCCAGCCTAGTATAGGAAGCCTGTTAGTTTATCAACCCCAATGTTCTCGGGACCTTGGACTCACGAAGGAGAAGAACGGAGCGAACTTGGGCGCAAGCTCACTGTCTGCCATGGTGATGTCGGAGCAAGACTAATCTTGCAAGTCACAAAGAATAGAAGAGAATGAGAGCTGTTTGATACAAGATCAAGAGCAGGGAGAAGGTCGGGCTGTTGATAGGTTTCGGGGCTTTGGGTGTTCCACATGGCCACTTCGGCCGCCGTAGTCCTCGCCATTGTCTGGTCCTGGGCGGTGACGATACCGTACCTATTGTATTCTAGATCTTGACTCTCAACGCTATATCGCCAGCCTTTGTATTGAAATTACTATACCGGCCTCGCCGTCACCTTTGCCATCCTCGTTCTCCTGGGTCCCTCCCCCCCAGTTTATTACTGCATTTTCAACATCCAACTACACCCCCACCTTCAACAACTATCCTACCCTTTCACTACTCACCTCAAATCTCGGAGGATGCTGAGGGCATGAAATCGAAAGGAGCCCTGACTTATTTGCGCTCACGGCTCCTGGCGCTTTTCCATTAATACCGCTTTGATATCGCCTTTAAATTCCCCATCCGAACTGAGGGGAGTTATGGAATATTGAGTCCCATCAGTGCTTTGAGACAATCTATTATTCCTTTCGAGGTCGTTGCCTACGGAACTTTTTTTTCCTCGTTCCACGTCTATTGTTTCTTCCGTTGTCTACGATCTTGAAAGACAATTGCGACGCCCTGAACGCTCTCCACGATCAACCGGATACCCCTTTCGCCTTTTTCGCACCCCCGCATAGATATACCTCGCATATCTGATTAAACCACCGATACTCGTCCTGGATCGCTGATAATTCGTGAAAAATGGCGGATTTGGGGGGTCAGCGTAACCGGAATTACCGGCCTCACGGACCCGCTTCGTCCACGCAGCGGGATGCAGCGTATTCTGATATCTTTGGAGGCGCACCACCCGCAGGACGCTCTCATACAATGAATTCGCAGACTCCGCAATTCTCACAGGGGCGCGCTCATACCATGTCATCGCATGTCGCACAACCCCAATTTCAGAGACCGCCGCCGCCGCCAACACGGCAAATGCCAAATGGACACGGGCCGCCATCGGCACCACCAAATGGATATCCTCCACCCCCGCCGTCAGGACAGTATCAAGCGTACAATCCAGGGGCATCGGCGACAATGTCTTCACATCAGCTTCCTCGACACAACATTAACACCCAACAACGCTTTGCTGCATATCCTCGACCTCAACGCCTCGAGTCAAGACCAAGCCCTGCTCCGCAATACCCAGATCCTCGGGATTTCAATCGTCCTATGCCTCCTCCTGCGCTAAACTCCGATTCATCCCGATCAAGGTCAATGGCAAAACTAAGCGGGCCGCCTTACCAGACCCCGCCAAGCAACTTCAATCACACCTCTGCCACCGCCTCTCGCCGTGAACAGTATCATACTGGGGCCCAGATCACGCAGCTCGGCCGTCCTGTCCCAGAAAAGCACGCGAATGAACGAGCTATGTCTATGACTTCCTGGTCATCGGATCGGGATCCGCATATCATGAACAGCGGAAGGTCAATTCCACACCGCAGACCTCCGTCAAGTCACGATCAGCCGATTCCAATAAGGTACGACTCAATGATGCAGCCCAGTCCTGATGAGTTCGTCGCATCTCGTCAGCCAAGCGATGCATCCCAAAAATCTCGGACTATGTCTATGGCATCCACTGTTGCGCCCGATCGGACGATGAGTGTTCAAAGCCAAGCCACACAGGGCTCCTCCGGCAAAGGTACCCTTGTTTCTAGGGATTCGCAGCGGAAAGTTCCGGTGGTCTATCCTGCTTTGCTTTCTCTTGTCGCTGAGGTTTTCAGGGAAAAGATTTCACTCGGCGAACGACAGAAGAACGGTCTTTCGTATCAGAACGCATTCTCAGGTACTGATTCGGTGGACTTGATCGCCTCCATCATCAGAACCAACGACCGCAATCTCGCTCTTTTGCTCGGCCGTGCGCTGGATGCCCAGAAGTTCTTCCACGATGTCACATATGACCACCGTCTTCGAGACGCGCCCGGAGAGGTCTATCAGTTCAAAGAAACAATGGGAGAAGACAAGTCGACAATCGAGGTTAATGGAGTTTTCACTCTCCTGACTGAATGTTATTCTCCCACTTGCAATCGGGACACACTCTGCTATTCTATCGCTTGTCCGCGACGACTCGAGCAGCAAGCCAGGTTGAATCTGAAACCTCAGCCGGTACTGGGAACATCGGAATCCAAAACTGCTCTGCCCCCCGATGACGATGACGACAATGATAACCAAAAGCTGTGGATTAGCACGGTGCCCAAGGAGGTCTCGGACTCTGTGGATGATCACGAGAAGAAACGGCAGGAGATTATCTTCGAGGTCATGTACACGGAGCGTGATTTTGTCAAGGACCTAGAATATTTGCGGGATTTCTGGATGCGACCATTGCGCGCTGCTGGAACCACCACCCACTCCCCGATTCCGGAACACCGGCGTGAGAAGTTCATCCGAACTGTGTTTGGCAACTGTTTAGAGGTCCTCAAGGTCAACAGCGCTCTGTGTGAAGCCCTGAATGCTCGACAAAAGGAGAGTCAAGTTGTTCACACCATTGGCGACATCTTCTGTCAACATGTCCCTAATTTCGACCCTTTCATCAAATATGGTGCCAACCAGCTCTATGGAAAGTACGAATTTGAAAAGGAAAAAGCATCAAACCCAGCCTTCGCCAAATTTGTCGAAGACACCGAACGTCTCAAGGAATCTCGGAAGCTGGAACTGAATGGTTACTTGACGAAGCCTACAACTCGTCTTGCAAGATACCCGCTTTTGCTTGAAGGCGTTTACAAAAACAGTGCGGATGGCAATCCTGACAAGGAAGATATTCCGAAGGCCATCAAGCTGATTAAGGACTTCCTTTCGCGCGTCAATGCCGAAAGTGGAAAAGCGGAGAATCATTTCAACTTGGTCCAGCTGAACGCTGCGCTGAAGTTCAATTCTGCGGACTATGTCGATTTGAAGCTTACAGAAGAAAATCGACAGATGCTCATGAAGATGTCATTCAAGAAGACCACAGCCGACAGCTCCGATGTTACTGCATATCTCTTTGATCATGCCGTGCTGCTCGTTCGCGTCAAAACGGTGAATAAACGCGAGGAATCTCGAGTTTATAGGAAACCCATTCCCTTGGAACTGTTAGTAATCGCTCAGATGGAAGAGGTTATCCCACGACTGGGTATTGCCAAAAGGCCTTCATCCAGTCTTCTGTCCAACAAGGCTGTCATCAACAATCCCCCTCCTGCCAAAGATGGCGGACTGCCCATCACGTTCAGACATCTCGGCAAAGGTGGTTACGAGCAGACTCTCTATGCCACAAGTGCCGCCACACGACGGAAATTTATCGAAGCGGTAGAGCAACAACAACAAAAACTGTGGGAGCGAAACAGCAATTTCTACAACAAGACCATCCTGAGCGAAGGGTTCTTCGCAGCGGTCAACCGAATCAATTGTCTTGTTCCGATCGGTAAGTGAGAATTTTCTTATTCAACTCGAGTCTCACTCGCTAACTGCTACCAGATGGAGGCCGGAAGTTAGTCTACGGGACTGATAATGGTATATTTGTGTCTGAACGCTGGCCCAAAGATAAAACAGCAAAACCAAGAAAGGTCCTAGAGGCTACCCAGGTCACGCAAATCGATACTCTAGAAGAGTACCAGCTGCTGTTGGTTCTGGCAAACAAGACACTTTCCTCTTATCCCATGGACGCCCTCGATTACGTTGAGGGTCAGAACAGCATGGCGAAACGGCCTAAGAAAATTCAAGGCCATGCCAACTTCTTCAAGGCAGGTATTGGTCTCGGTCGTCATCTTGTTTGTTCAGTCAAAACATCGGCATTGTCAAGCACAATCAAGGTCTACGAGCCGATGGACAATCTGGCAAAGGGAAAGAAGAAATCTGCTGTCAGCAAAATGTTCCAGGGCGGCCAGGATACTCTCAAGCCGTTCAAGGTTTGTATTTTCTCTGGCATATTTGTGGTTCAATTCACACTAACACTTTCACTCAGGAATACTATATCCCTGCCGAGTCTTCTTCCATCCACTTCCTGCGTTCTACTCTGTGTGTTGGTTGTGCACGTGGCTTTGAAGTGGTCAGTCTAGAAACAACGGAAACACAGTCTCTCCTTGACCAGGCCGACACGTCCCTCGATTTCGTGGCACGAAAGGAGAATGTGAAGCCCATTCATATTGAACGTATGAACGGCGAGTTCCTACTCAATTATAGTGATTTCTCATTCTTCGTCAACCGCAACGGGTGGCGAGCCCGTCCGGACTGGAGGATCGCCTGGGAGGGTAACCCCAACTCATTTGCGCTGTCCTATCCTTATATCTTGGCGTTCGAGCCCAACTTCGTTGAAATTCGACACGTTGAAACAAGTGAATTGACACACCTTATGACCGGCAAGAACATTCGCATGTTGCACAGTTCCACTCGCGAGGTATGTTACTTCCAGGTTTTTCCCTTGGGGGTTTCTCTGGGGATGTTTTATCACTGGTCAATCGCTAACTGGTTTTGATAGATTATCTATGCCTATGAAGATGACCGGGGCTACGACACTGTTGCCAGTTTAGATTTCTGGACAAACAAGCCACAGCCAGCCGCCGTATAATGTCCGACGGGTGCATGCCGCAATGAACCCCTGCTTGACATCACCGCTTTGATGCTGTCGGCCGCTTCTCTCTTCCCTAGAGTTCTCAATGACATTAATCCTTCCAGTGGATATGTCGTCGCAGCACACTAGCGAAGTTTTGACTGTATGTACTATGTTGTTTCTACAACAGTTTAGTCAATCATCTACACCTACTTCGCAAACACCAATCCCTCCCTTTCCTCGACACCAATTACAACAAGTCGGGGGGGTTCTTCCCGTCTTTTCTACGCAATGTACAATGGAGCGCAAATACCACTTCTTGCGTGTCTGCTTTCTTCCTTTTTGGCTGCGTTTCTTTTTTACTTCCTGCGGATTGCATTTGCTCCCTTTTCTCTTCTTTTAAAATTTTTTTACCTTTCTTCTTTAGCTCTTTCTATCTCCGGCTCTGTTTCCTTCCGCATGACCATATTCTCGAGACGTCTTCGTTCTACCTGTATCGTTTTGAGTTCGAGGCATCTTTGTCTGTTATACTTAGCAATTTCATTGATGTGAATGGCACCCATTACATTTTAGATGAGGAGAATTGCAGTAGACTTAAGCTTAGTTTGCTAATGTGGATATTCGATTTTCTTTCGGTCTTCTGCATTTTTCTCATACTCGCTAGAATAAATGTACACCTAGCCTCGGACCTCTTTCGTTCCCTCGACAGGAGGGTCAAGCAAGCCCAACATAATATGTTCAAGCTATGTAGATACTTCAACCGCTTACATGTAGTTGCACAAACCAAAGCATGTTGCTACAGAGAGTACACGGTAACAGACTACAATGGCAGAATCAAAAAGAGATAGAAGCAAGCGAGCTAGTCGGGTACTTTTTCTTCCTCAATTACTATCAGGGTAGGAAGACAGGCGAGGAGAAAGGATAGATGATGAACAAGACAGGAGCCACGAACGAAAAAAAAAACAAGGGAAGAGGGAATATTGCTGCGCTGCGGACTTTGGACAAGAACAGGAGAAGAAGCAGAGAAGAGGAAATAGAAATCATACGGCAACATGTCACGGTGGCAGCTGGGATGTGATGAAAAGAAAAGAAGACGGGATGACCTGGACAGGGCGGAAAACATGTGCTGGAAAAGGAGGCAGTCACCGGGTTGAACAGGAGCGAGATGTATCGAGGATGGGGCTTCCAGAAACTGGTAAAAAACAATTCCCAACTCGACATAGTTCAGTCTCCCATTGGAAATGAGAAGCATTGCACCCACAATTCGTGACCGGAGTGCCGATATCTATGTTGAGGTGGCCCATCCCCACAGAGGTAAGAAGAGAAAAAGAAGAAAAAAGCTATTAACGTGAATAAACAGTCAATATTATCCCATAAACAAAAGCCAACTTGTTGGTGCCATCAAAGTCCATGCTGGCACAAACGGTATCACATTGCGAACCAGCGCCCCGCTGAATGAGCCGTATCGTCGACAGGGTATATCTAGGCCTCTCCGTTGGCTCCTTCGCCCTGGGTTTGCTGCTCGCGCTGCATGCGAGCCTCGATCTCTCGGAGCTGGCTCTCCCGAGCCAACAACTCCTGTCGCTTCTCAGCAATCTCACGCTGTACCTTGATTTCAATCTCACGGAGCTTCTCCTCCTCGCGGCGGAGCTGCTCTTCCTTGAGACGGACAGACTGGGAGGCAAGATCCTCAGGATTCATAGCAGAATCATAGCCACTGCTGTTTGCTGTGTTAGCGAATTGATCAAAGGAATCTCTAGTATCAGGAGAAACGTACCCAGAGCCACCATCGACGCTCTTGCTGAGCTTCTCAGTACGGTAGTTCTCATAGAGGAAGTCGTGAGTGATCTCCTTCAGATCAGCCAAGTGGCTGTGGAGCAAAGCGCTACGGATAGCCAAGAAGTCCGAGTGACGAGGGTTCTCAACCTCGACGACACCCCATGGGTACTGGCGTGCGCGCACTTTCCGGTTGTCAATCTCAACAAAATCTTCCGAGCCGACAATAGCGAAGGGCATCAGTCCACGGAGTTCGGCGTTCTCCTCCACAGTGTCCTCATCATCCTCCTCAATGTCGTAGGGGAAGTTGTAGACGGGAATGCGGTAGTGTTCAATGTCCTCCATGATCAGCTTCTTGGACTCGGCCAATTCGGCGGGGGTGAGCGAGTCAGCCTTTCCAATGACAGGAATGACGTTAACACGGGGAGAGAGGCGCTTCATCAATTCGATATCGAGTTCACGTAGACCGTGGCCAGTGGGTGTGATGAAGTAGAGCAGGACGTGCACTCGGTTATCCCTGAATCGAGGGTTACGCTTAATTCGCGACTCCTCTGCAAGAATATCATCGTATTGGCGCTCAAGGTAACCGACAATCTCGCCGAAGCTATCCGAAAAGTCAGTCCATGGACATCTGTTGGCTAACTGTGTGTACGTGCCTGGCCTCGTTGTCAATCTGGTCACCAAATCCGGGCGTATCGACGATAGTCAGGGAGATGCGGGTTCCTTCCTCATCTAACTCGAGCTCTGCCGTCCCATATCAGTATTGATAGCTTGAGATAAGCGCCGTGCACGGGGAAGGTTTCAACTGACCGACAGTCACGGGCTTGATGCGGACACCCTCCTCAAGGTGAGCGTTGGCAGCATCATCGGCATCCTTGCCCTCCAGAACTTGCTTGCCGCAGAGAGTGTTGACAAATGTTGTGCGGCCTTATTGTGGAAAGGACATCCGGTTAGTCCCTGAAAGTAGAGTAATTCGTTTCAACATACCTGTTCCACTAGCGCCGCACACCATCAAACAGAATTGGATACCCTTCTTGACATTCTTCTTGCGACGAATCTTGATCTACCCGGAACGAGTACGGGCATGCAATTAGCTTGGGAAACTTTTTAGGAAGGCGGGAAGCTCCCAATAAAAGGGGAATGTGCATACCGCGTTGAGAGCTGACGACATTGTGAGCTAAAGAATGATTAAAGAAATGTACTCCGGAGAAAGAAGACCAAAGCAAGGAATTAATAAAGAAGAGGGTGTGAAACTTGGCTCTCCTGAGAGTCTGGAGAGAGTAGGGGGGGGAGGAAAGACAGTTCGTGTTTCCCCCTTTCCCAAATGGGCGGCCAATCACGGGACAGCTCTTCTTCTCCAGTCTGTTACTTTACTTCTATAAAGCTCTTTGATCAGTCAAAATTGATGACTGAATGTAGGTGGAAAAAAAAGAAATGAGGTAAATTATCAATTATACTGCTACTTCCCCTACTTTCCATGTACAATATTGCCTTCATCTCCATCAACCAACATCGAACAGCAACTCAGGGGTTGAGCAAAGTAGGTCGCTGCTGGCAACCGTATAATTACCTAATTATTAGCCTGAGGTGTCGAAGTGGATCTCGCCCGCATTGCTCTTATCGATTAAGAAGCTCGGGGATGATCCCAGACATGTGCATTTGAAGCATTTCAACCTGGAAAGACCATTATCAACTATTTATTAGGGGGAACTTCATTATACAGAGTCCATCCACATCTATCTATTTGAGCAAGGAATTCTTTCCTATGCTTCGTTGACATACAGCGATGAATACCCGCCAATCTATCGATGAGTCCACTGGGCCATATTCACTCTCAGCGACATTTAATCATGATAACACCTGCTTCTCAGTGGGCCTGGACACAGGATTTTGTGGTAAGAAATGCTTGAGCTAGCTGTCGGCAGAACCTTGGAAGAACTAGCTCATGTCATAAATATGGAGCCGAGGCTGATGAACGACCTGAACAGTATATAATGCCAACCCTTGCGAGCTCAAGGTCTTGAGAGGTAAGCGATTGTTCTTCAAGCCGAGAATATACTAAATATCGAACAACTTACCCTGACTGCCCTATTTGCACTTAAGATTTCAACGCAGGCATTGGGTTAGCGGAAATGCTTGGCCAGTCGAACTACTTGGCCATTGTGGGGGGTGGAAAAAACCCCAAGTTCCCACAGAACAAGGTAAGGAATAATTCCTAGCACAATTTGTGAGCCTCTCAGCTCACAGATACCCTCAGTTAGTCATATGGGACGATGCCAAACAGAAAGCGGCCATCACACTTGAATTTCGCACCTCCGTCCTCGGTGTCCGTCTCTCCAAATCAAAAATCGTCGCTGTTTTATTGAACAGTGTCCATGTCTTTGCATTCTCCAACTCTCCCCAGAAACTTTCGGTCTTTGAGACCACCGACAACTCTTTGGGGCTGGCCTGTCTCGATGACAAGGTGCTGGCCTTCCCTGGTCGGTCTCCGGGCCAGGTCCAAATGATAGAGCTGGAGACCGGCAACATCAGCATCATACCGGCACATAGCACACCGTTGCGGGCTATGGCCCTGAGTGCCGATGGGAACTTGCTGGCGACTGCGAGTGAGGCCGTAAGTTCTCTTAGGCTGCGACCATCTATGTGTGGGTTATTGACATCTATACAGGGGACTTTGGTTCGTATATTTGCTACGGGGAATTGCACGAAACTTGCAGAATTGCGACGTGGTGTTGACCACGCAGTGGTATTCTCAATTTCCTTTTCGCCGTCCAGTACTTTGCTGGCAGTAACATCTGACAAATCGACCCTCCATATCTTTGATATCCCCCACCAGCAACCTGCCGCTCGTCGCAGTCAGTCACCGTCACCGGCATCCGAGGAAACAACTTCTAGCCACAAATGGGGAATCCTTGGCAAGATTCCCCTGCTCCCTCGTGTTTTCTCGGATGTTTATTCGTTTGCCAACGCACATTTTGAGATTGGCGAGCAAGCTAACCTGGGCTCACCGCATGTGCCACCGATCGGGTCATCATATGGTAGGCCGCAAAAAGGCCTCGTAGGCTGGTGCGATGACCAAACTCTGTTGGTAATCGGATCTGGAAAAGAAGGGCGCTGGGAGAGATTTGTGATTCGAGATGGTGAGGAAGGCAAGAGATATTGTGTGCGGGATGGCTGGAAAAGATATCTCGGGTGACAGAGAATCCCCAGTCTGTGACAACAAGGGTAGTGTATCACACAGCAAGTAACGGACACCTTGTCCGTAGCACAGCTCATTGCCAGCACCAAGCACGGATTGTTGCATCGCTTCCTGGACTGGGAAACACTTTTAATTCGCCAGAGTGACGCAAGTTAGAAGGAGAGAATCTCGGCAAGCAACATGGGTAGCATCGTAGATAACCTTGGAAGACTTCACAACGATATTCTCATATATCTTTCAATGGCGGCGATCATGTCTATCCCGATCATTTCGGTGTCTTCGGGACTCGGGCGAGCGCGATTTCCTCGGCGATTGGTCCCTTCTAGATTTCTCTCCTCTTTCGGATGACCTATAGCGAGATCGCCTGTCCCTATCTGGAGAACGATCGTCTCGATGTCTTCGCTCGCGAGGAGAACGGGAGCGGTGCCGGCGGTGGCGCCTGCTTGACCGTTCTCTGCTGTCGTCACGTCGCCGAGATGACTTCTTGGTGCTGTGCCACAACTGGATTGCAGTAGCGATCTCTTCTTTCTTCTCCTCAATGAGGAATTCTTTCATCGGGTCTTCCTCGTCATGGTTCCGAATCAATTCTTCTAGCTCCTTCTCCTCTTTCAGCATAGGTCGCCTCTCCTCTATTTCGGCCCTCCTTCTCCTGTCGTTGTCCTTGTCCTTCTTGTTCTCGCTGACAGCTGGCTCTCCCATCAACTTGGCGACATTGTCCTGCTCTTCTTCGTCATCCTTCCGTTTGTAGCGCGCATGATCTACTCGAAGCAAACGGCCCATAACAGTTGCACCACCGAGGTTATCCACAGCAAGATCTGTGCTGCGCTGGTCCTCATATTTCAGAAAGGCAAATCCCTTGCTCTTGCCCGTTTCCTTGTCGCGGACTAGATTGACATGCACCGGTTCTCCATATTGTGAAAAGATAGTGATAATATCTCCTTCGGATAGATCAAATGGAAGTCCTCCAATGTAGATATAGGCTGTGTCGCGGTAGTCTGCGTGCCATGATGCCTCTGGGGTTCTATAGAAGGGAAGACTGTCAGCGGGAAAAAGAGCTTTAGGGGAGCTTCACATGAGTTCAGCTTACATCGCATGCTCAAGCTCACGCTTATTGAGCGCCTGGACCTGGCGAATAGAATTCATGGAGGCAGATGTGTGAGAGAGAATAGTTTCAAGATGTGGCAGAAGTTGGAGAGAAAGAGATGTGGAGCCCGCGCGGAACCGTAATAATCAATTGTTTACGGAGACGCACCTTTATAATGCAAACTAGCCCCCTGCTCGACGTGCGAGAAAAAGACCTTCCTCTTGTTTTGCGAGTTGCAATCGGAAATCCTTTCGCGAGTAGGGTTATTTTCAACTAGGCCTACATTTATCCATCTCCCTCGGGATCCCCCTGACCCGCGACGCTGCTTCGCCTTTCTCCCCCTCCGCCTCCACATTTCCACGCGCACAATATTCCCGCTGTGCTACGGTAGGGACAGACATTTGGAAGGGTGAATGCCCTTTTGAGGCATGGTGGGACTAGACACGATGTCCTCCAGTCCGAATCCAGGGTCGAAAGCGGCTGGAACGAGCAGTCGGCCAACCAGCAAAGATGGCTCCAAGAAGAACATTTGGTCCTCTCTATTAGATACTGTTGCCAACGGCAAGCGCTTGCCCGAGAAGAACTTGCTAGTGCTAGGTTAGTACCAGTCTTCTCTGAGCATCCCAATCCTGCTCATCCTCAATTCTGGTCCCGTCCTTCAATTATTGGACATGTCGCTAACAGCTCGATGATAGGTGGCACGCCGGACAGCCAAAGGGAATTTCTAGATACTTTTTCAGCGGACACGTCTGCAGACCCTAGCTTAGCAAACGACAAACGGAAAGGTAAAGGGAAAACACCCCCAATCGCCAATCAGTTTGCGCTTGGATACACATATCGAGATGTCCTCGATGCGGATAAAGAAGGTACATGGGACATGCACTCTTTTACTAGCTTCAACTATGCTAATGTTCTTCTTGCGCAGATACACTGGCCCGCGTCTCGGCCTACCTCCTGTCCGAGCCTTCTCCGTCATTCGCGCCTCTCCTCAGACCACTCCTGACCCCCAAGTCCGTCCCGGAAACGCTGGTTGTCATCCTGATGGACTGGTCAGACCCATGGACGTGGGTTCGAAGGCTAAGAGAATGGACCCGTCTGCTACGTTCTGTGCTCGTTTCGCTTGACGACGAAACCAAATTCGTTATGGAAGAGACCATGACAGAGTGGCGCGATCGTAAAAGGGGAATTGATCCCAGCTCTGCGGCTGCAGGCGGCATATCAAACTCAAGCGGTCCAGTCACAATACCTTTAGGACCCGGTGAATGGGACGAAGGCCTCGGAATCCCAATGTGTGTTGTCTGCCAAGGGGTACGTACACTCTTACCCAGAAATCAATTGCTGGTAAAACTGACTCGACTCCTCGATGTTATCAGGCGGATAAGATCGAGAAATTGGAGAAAGATCATGGATGGCATGAAGAGCAGTTCGATTTCGTTCTCCAGTTCCTGAGAACGATTCTCCTGAAGCGTAAGGACTTTATTACCCTGTATTTGGCATTTTTGCGCTCTTTTCTGACCGCCAGACAGACGGTGCATCGCTCATCTATACTACCCCATTCCTTGCGAACTCTCTTCAGGGCCTGATTCATTCTTCTCTGGGCATACACTCTCTTTTGAAAAGAGAATCATTAAAACATAATGTGATCGACCGAGACAAGATTCTGGTGCCAGCCAACTGGGACTCGTGGGGTAAGATCCGAATTATTCGGGAAGGATTTGACATGGAGGGAGTGTCGACAGCGTGGTCAATCGAGATCCAGGACCCTCCCGAGTCAATTTATCAGTCCACGGACGACAACCAGCAAGGCGAGAATGGCCTAGCAGAAGAAGGCACGAGTGCGGTGACCATGTTCGAACAGACGATCAACGATCCCAAACGAGGCACAGCCAACCCCCACGGCAACACGACCAAGATCGAAATCGAGACCACCGCCCTCCAAGATTTCTTCGCAACCCAAGTGGAGAAACTGGAAGAACTCAAAGCCAGGGATGAGAAGGAGAATGCGAACCAGCCGACCCCACAACTGGAAATGTCTCCCATGGCCGACGAAGGCAAAGTCAACGATCACATCGGCCCTGTACAGTTCAACATGGGCGGAATCCAAGTGGACGCCGATGATATGTTGAAAAAGCTTCGGGTAAGCAACCGACAAGCTTGGCGTCACCCTCCTCAACCCAGGACATAGCTAAATATTACCCCAGGACCGTGAGGCTAGCCGAACCATGAAGAAAGAGAGCCCATATGCAGGCACCGGCGGCAATGATGAGAAAGCGCACAACCAAGCCCTGGCGAACTTCTTTGCTGGCCTCGTGAAGAAACCTGGCTCCAGCCCCCGTGGAAGCCCCTCGGCGTGATCCATTCTTTTCTCACTGTATTTTAGTTCTTTGTGCGTACATAATACAGAGGCCGGAACTCCTGGCGATGGGCTAGGTGGTTTGATATATGGAGATGAAAGAGCTATTGGGAGACCTTCGGCTTGGAAGAGGAGACAGTCACTCTATTATTACCCTAGCAATGGAGGGAGCTCCCAAATGGCTTTTCGGCAGGTGTTAGATAATGATACCAATATGAAGTCTGATTTGTTATTCTAAATGACTTCCCCAGCAATACGAAAGACGAAACAGAAGTACATATGCTCTCTGTTGGAGTTATAACTGTTAAGCAAAGCCCAAAATTGCTTCGTAGTAGAACTAAAAGTTTTTTTTCCGTAGTCTATTTTACTATTATTTGGTAACTTCTCCCCCTGTACAATCCTCTGACATAGATGGCTAATATAAAACCCAGAGCAAGAGTAATATTCAATCTTCAAATTTTGCTCAGCTTCCTTTCAACACTCACCAGTTCTCCCACACAGCATCAGGCAAAACCTTCCGCATAATGGCCCAGTGTTTGAGCGCACTGCGGTCCTGGAACTTGTGCAATCTCCCGACCTCCTTAGCCCACAGAAGAGATCTGCCGCCCTTGGGCCAAGTGGCAAACATGGCAGCGTCAAGTTCGTGCTTGGGAACAAGATAGCTTTCACGAGACCTGCTGCGCAGGAAGTCCGCCGGGACAGGGTCACGGAATTGAATCGGTGTATTGGAGCTCTTCTTGCAGAACAGAACCATGTTGGTGAAGTTGGTATCTTCGTCCTCTCCGGAGGGTGCTTCGCGGAAGATGCGGCAAGATGGGAAGACGGCCATGATGGTGCGGACGATGAGACCGGTTGGGTAGAGGCTCAGATCACCGGCGTAGTTCTGGGTTTCAGTTAGTATCTGGTTAAGGGTGGGGGTTGTTGCTTGGTGCGACTCACAATGGCAATGACACCGTCTTCCTTGAGGAGCGAGTGAAGGCCTGACAGGAACTCGTATGTGAAGAGTTCGGCGGGCTCGGCGCCTCCGGTGAATACATCATGGACGATGTAGTCATACTGGGGTCTATTGGGGGAGGACTCTGCCTTCTTGACGAATCTTACGGCGTCTTCGATGACGGGGATGTGGTTTGGCGGAAGGTTGAAATACTGAGTGGCGAACTTGTGCACCACAGGATCGATTTCCACAATGGTAGTTTCAATGCCATGTTTGATGAGCGCAGAGGGTGTTGTGCCGATTCCAAGACCACTGTTTTCTGTCAGTAAACTGGGCGATTGATGCTTTTTGAGTGATTCTTACATGACCAGCGCCTTGCTGTCTGCGTCGATGCGGGGAACGCCATGATCCGGCTCAACCAGACGGACAGCCTCGAGCATGGCAAAGATTGCATAGATAGGATCTTCCACCTCAGGCCGGTAGCCCGGTGCTAGCCTGGTCCACTGTCCACCGAGCAGACTGTGATCGCAACGCATAACACGGAATCCGTCATTCTGGTTTTCCAAAACAGAAATGTACCCAGTGTAAGCTTCCTGTCTTGCCAAGAGAGAATAACCTTCATGCTCAATTGCAGAATTGACACCACTAATTCCAGCGAAATGGACGTTCGAGGTCACTGAGAAAATTATGGAGGGAATAGCCAGGACTAGCCATCTCGACGGGATGAGCGCAGAGTAACAGGCGGCGAGGAGCATTTGCATGCCAACTCTGGTGAAGAAAACCGAGGATCCAACAATCCATGAAAGAACAAAATGGGCGATGTGTTCGCCAGCCGAATAGAACAAATATGTACCTATCAAGGGCACATGCTCAACAACCAGGTCGCCCTGCGCTTCAAGTCTCAAAGCAGTCTGGATTTGCTTTCCGGCATAGGCGACTGTCAACAGCACGAGAGGATAGTAACCACAGAGTTCAGTGATCACTGGGCCTGTGGGGTTGCCAATCTTAGAGCTTTGCTGCTTGATAAAGTACTGGAGAGTCGGAACCCAGAATGCCAACACAGGGAGCAGGAAACCACCGAGACGGCCCAGGCGCTTGAGAATCTTATCTTTCAATAGCCATCCGACTCCGCCGGAGATGGCCACTCCAAAACTATGGAAGATATGCGCTGCGTAGGATCCATATGTTGGAGACAAGACGAGCTTTGAAAGGGGCGAGTAGAAGGCAAGCAGGATCAGCAAAACCACGCCGGTAGTGAACCGCCGGGCATCAATATGCCGCAACATGTCCTGGGGAGACATGATTACCAGCTGATGCAGTTCTGGATATAAGGGGAATTAACCAAAATAGCGCATCTGCAAGCTTGTCAGCAACCTGAAACTGTGTCCTTCCCCCCTATTGCACTTGATATCCAATGAATAATAAACGGTTATTTTAAATCAGATGCTCGACTTACACGTTCAGAACAGGTACATATCAAAATAATCTTCAACGAGAAAAAAAGTTATTGCGGAGATGAAGGCACTTTTGCCGCCGAGCTCCGCGTTCCCAACATCCTCCTCCTCTCCACCTCCACACTCTGAAACACACCGAAGATGCCACATTTCCCCAAGGATTCCGGATTTGCGGTCAAAGATGAATCCAGCGTGCAAAACGCTGTCAAAGTCAAAAACCGTCGCAAGCGGTATCTGGACTTACACCCAGAATACTTCTCGGCGGGGCTTGAGCTAGCCGGTCCGCCTGCTCTCTTCTCTCCCATTGCCAGTTGATTATTTATACGTTGCTTGGCCTGGTTTATCTGGTGCCAGCTAGCTTCGCATACGGAAACAAACTATCAAAAAAGACATAATGCTAATCCTGCTCGACTTCTCCGTAGACCCGTTACTATACGATCGCCTCATCCGCCGATTTCAGACAGCGCAAGAAAGAGAGGCCGAGGGGCGAGCGAAGGGGTTCTCAGGTGTCTTAGAGACTGACCTCCTGCGGTCTGAAGCCAAGATCGATGCGATCGCAAACCCGGATCCCAACGCTATGATGAGCTACACTCGCGGCCCAGATGGGGAGATCCTCGCCGAGGACCGCGATGAAATACCCCCAAATAAGGAGGAAGGCGAGCGGCTCTGGCGGTGGGAGATGGGATTGCGTTTCATGCAGGGCAACGACCCTGATTTTGATTACAAGACCGTTGATGAAAATGACGACTACGATGATCACACAGATGAGCAAGACCAGTATTTCGAAGATGAGGAGCCTGAATGGGTGGTTGACGGCACCCACGAGGACGACGCTCGCCCGAATCTTCAGGGTGAAACAGGCATTCAGGATTTCTAGATTCAGAGAACTTGTTGCATTGTTCCTGAGATGTGGGTTACAGCGAAGTTTGCTCGCTGGCTACACGTGAAGCTATAAAATATTACCCATGGTGTTCTATCCACTACCTCCGGAGTATCCCGCCCTCGGACGGCCAAAAGAGGTGCTTGACACTGGTTTCGAGTGTCCTGCCCCATCAACAGCTTCGCTTTCGTCGTTAGGGTGTGGATGTGTCGGCACGATCTAAGAGTGTCTGCAATGGCCGGGAATCTCCAGGGCTGAGTACAAGGTCTTAAGTCATCCTTCAAGTTAGAGTTTCCATAGCAGCATTCCGATTGGCGGATAAAGTGGATAACGCTCGCATCCGAGGCCTCGAAACGGTTTAGCCTCGCTCTTATTGTTCACTCTATTCACTCTATTTGGCAATATTTTCCTTGTCTGCAGGTCCTCCTGTGCAACATAGGATCACTTGGAGCTGTGGACATTAAAACATCTGGCTGATATTTTTTTTGGAGCCTTATAAGACACACTGAAACTTGTCGTTCGGTTTAAGTAAGTTTTTCTACGCCAGGAGAGAACAGAGCTATTTTTCTAAATGTTTGCTCTATAGACCATACGACGCTATCATGCTACACAAGCTCGAAAACAAAGATCTTATTGTCTCCGACAGAGGCGGGGTGGTGGAAAATCGACACATCATTCACGCATCGGTTGTCGATGCAACTGGCAGACTGCTTTTTGCCGTAGGTGACCCGGGAAGAATGACTCTAGCTCGATCTGCGGCAAAGCCAATCCAGGCATTGGCCATCCTAGAAACCGGTGCATGTGACCAATTTGGACTTGATGATGCCGACTTGGCATTGATGTGTGCATCGCACAGTAGCGAGGACAGGCACATCGCTCGCGCTCGCTCCATGCTTCGCAAAGTGGATGCCGAAGAAACAGATCTTCGCTGTGGTGGGCATGTCGCTCTGTCCGATGTTGTCAATCGAGCGTGGATAAAAGATGACTTCGTTCCCACTGCTATATGTAATAATTGCTCAGGCAAACATGCCGGCATGCTGGCCGGCGCTAAGGCACTGGGTTCAGATGTGAAGGATTATCACATGCCAACTCACCCCATGCAACTGCAAGTTCGAGGTACCTTCGAGGAGCTTTGTGGCCCAGATGAAAATATTCTGCTCTGGGGGCTTGACGGCTGCAATCTGCCGGCACCAGCTTGTCCCCTGTTCATGCTGGGCAAGATCTACGCCCTCCTCGCTGCGTCAGCAGATGTTGTGAAGAACAAAACTATCACCAGAAATGGCACCAATCAGACACGAACTGGTTATCTGAATCGAATTTTTGAAGCTATGTCACGGTATCCAGAATATGTGGGTGGTGAAGGTCGATTCTGCACAGAGCTTGCGAAGACGTTTCAAGGAATTTTGATTGGCAAACTCGGTGCAGACGGCTGTTATGGATTATCAATTCGGGAATCGGAGCAGACCCAGAAACTTGGAGCGAGGGGTGCTATAGGCATTTCAGTGAAAGTCGAAGATGGAAATATCAACATTCTCTACGCAGCTGTGATGGAAATCCTTGAGCAGCTGCAAATTGGGACACCAGAGATGCGCCATGCCCTCGGCCATTTCCACTTCCCGAAGCTCTGCAATACAGTCGGTTCGGTCACTGGTCAAATATCTCACTTATTCCAAGTACGTTCAGCTTGATCAAGGTGTCCGGAGAGCACAAGCAGCCTAGCTTTACGTTTCTTTATTAAAATAGACCGCAGTCAAATTCTGTTTATGGGGTACCCAGTTGAGGCTTACAAGAACGCACCAAACTCAGCGCCGGGCGTTGATACTGGGTAGATCATCGAAGGGGTGGGCGGACGGAAGATAAATGGAACGTCACATTTATAGGCCGTGTTATATCACGCTTGTAGGTAGAGATAGTGCCGATTTACAGAGTCGATAGCCTAGCTCATTCAGATCACAACACAGACGTCGAGCTAGTTGCCTTTAAGGGCTCTCGTGAGGCCTGGTCAAGTTGCAAGTTTCGCCAGGTTGATATCACAACCGTGGTCTAATGCTAAGAAAAAATATATGATCTCCATTTAAGGCCTTTAAAAACATCGCCATTCTCACCTAGCAGCTATAATCAGTCTATATGTCAAATGGAAGCGTCAGCACGCTTGTGCTCGATCGGTGAGCTTGTGGGCCTCTATTTATACTTGTGCACTTGACTAGGGTTTTGAAGATGACACCTCCGGCTAAAATTTAGCATACGTCAGTCGAGATTCGTCGAGCGGTGAGCTCGCAATGGAGTATACAACACAGAAGCTTTTTTTTATTGGCATAACAGATCTTTGGCTTCCTATATTGGTTGACTGTCTCGAGTTGAAAAAGGATCAAGCAATTAACCGCTACCACGTACGAAGCAACTTACTCCTATGACGGATCGACAGATACTGCGAGATCGCTAGTTGTTGTTGTTGTTGCTAAAGCCGCACGGTTTCCCCCTCAACTGGTCAAGCTGCCTGCATACGGAACCTACATAACAACACGTCCTTGACGACATTATCCCGGGAGACTCTAATAATCTGATGTATTTCGTCCAAGATAAAAGTAAGGGCTTTACATGTACGAATATATCAGTGTTTTTACATGTCCTTGGATCTTCACCTGGGTTCCCTACATTTCTGGTAATGGTCAAGTCAAGACGAATAGTATGGATGTATCTACCCGGGCTCATAATTCAGCCTTCCAATGGTCATATGACCTTTCTATCTCATGAGAAATAACGCTTGAATGACTCAGTATATACAGCAATACCAGGCATTTCGCCAACTTAGAATCTGTGCAAAGTCAGGCCTCGGCCTTATATGCTCGCTATTCATGCAGCGCTCTTGGCCAAAAGTGCAATGGCCTTCTCCCTGAGCTTGAACTTCTGGATCTTTCCACTTGCTGTCTTGGGGAAAGGCTCCAAGGGGCCCAAAAAGAAGACATGCTTCGGAACTATAAGCAAACAAAACGTCAGCTCAGTCCATACAGATAGTCGAAGGCCGACTGAAAATGATGGAAAGCGATGCGATAGTCTGGATTATGACTTACTAAGGTGGTTGCTAAGCTTTTCACGCACCCATTGCTGAATTTCCTCAGCAGTGACTGTCTTTGAGCCGTGGTCCCGAAGAACAACGAAAGCAGCCACTGCCTCGCCATATCTCACGTCGGGGACGCCGATGACAGACACATCTGCAATGGCATTGTTGGCTAGCAAGCAATTCTCAATCTCTAGCGGGTGTATATTCTCACCGCCGCGGATGATCAGATCTTTGATCCGTCCGGTGATAGTGATATATCCATCTGGTGACATAGAAGCTTCATCTCCAGTCTAAAACCACGGGGTCAGAGGAAAACAGCTTTACTGAGACAAAGAATAGAGGATTGGACTCACATGCATCCACACCTTGCCAGAGTCATCTGGAATCATCACCTCCGCGGTCTTTTCTGGATCGGCCCAATATTCCTTCATGAGCAGGTACCCGCTCACTGCCAACTCACCCCGTCTCTCTATAGGCAGAATCTCCTTTTTGTCCACCGGGTCCACGATCTTTGCCTCGACATTTGGCATGAGCCTTCCGACCGAGTATATCCGCTTATCAATGGGATCATCCGTCGTTGTCATAGCGGAGACGGGGCTTGTTTCCGTCATTCCGTAACAAATAGTCAATTCAGTCAGATTCAGTACCTTATGCAGTTTTTTCATTACCTCTGCAGGAATACTGCTTCCAGCGATGATTCCCGTGCGAAGATGTTGGAATCCCTCGCTGGAGATTTCTCCCGTCTCGATCATGCTGAGCTCCTCGAGAAACATTGTCGGTACACCGTATAGCGCGGTACATTTCTCTTCTTGAACAGCCTTTAACGCAGCGCGAGCATTGAAGGATTCACTGGGTAACACGAGGGCTGAGCCGTGGGTTGCTGTTGCCATATAGCCCAATATACTGCCGAAGCAATGAAACATCGGCGGTGGGCAACAGACAATATCATTCGGCGTTAGAAGCATGCGATCACCAATCTGAGAGCCATTATTCAGAATGGAGCGATGGGTGAGGCACGCTGCCTTGGGCATTGATGTGGTTCCTGAGGTGAACTGGATATTCACAGTTTCATCCGGCGAAAGGTCTCGAGGAGAAAGCGGGCGGCCGTCTGCAGTAAGCTGAGACATAATAGATGAATACTGCGTCAAGCTTTTATAGGACGATATATCCACGCGGCCTTCAGAGTTGTCGACCACAATGATATTTCTCAGAGAAGGGACCGATGCGGACTCCAAGTTTGACTTGCGGAGGTCTTCGACAAGGTCATCGAGTAAGGGAACATTGCTGCGTGGTTTTTTTCGGGGAAGATTGGACTCTGTGCTGATTAGGAGATGACTGGATTCCAGGTGACCTAGGGCCGCAATCACTTGTGTAGTATTAAAAGACGGATTGAGCGGAACCTATGTGTTTATTAGACACGATGTCCCCTACCACAATGAGAGGGCTGACCTACTAAAACGGCGCCAAGTTTGAATAACGCGTATGTTGCCTGGCCACGGATATTAGCCTTGCTTCCTGTCCATTTCCACGGGCACCCAACGTACCACAGCGTATTCCATCGAGTTCCCAAGCATGACTCCAACCCGCTCCCCCTTCCCAACACCCAGTGATTCCAGCCCCCGAGCGAGAGCATTGCTTCTTGTGTCCAAGGAGGCATAGGTTGCCCGATCATTCTGATGTCTTGAGACAACACTTGACAGTACAGTTAGTATCTCGAGTCTCAATTGTCCAATCTTGCGCCACGGTTCTCACGCTGTTCTATCTCCGCATTCCGCGACAATCTTGGCGAAATGGTCGCCAACTGTGGACTCAATCAAGGGCGGCTATATCGAAAGCAATATTGTCAGATACATATTGCTCTACATCAATTGTGTTATTTCCAATTGTTCTTGGACAGAGGATACTCACACCTGATGGCCCCCGGGCATAACTCTCTGTCAGTAGTCCTCTTTTGACCCAGGATGATTGCTGAAAGACTCTCTTTCCTCCAAAGGCAGATCTCCGACAGGATATACGACCCCTTAGGCCAAGCCCGATTCCGTGGTAGCTCATGTTCTTATTCCAATGCTAACTTGACCAAGGTCTCATGACCCTAATGGCTGCGATTGACTGTATCGATCGAGAAGGGCACTACAATAGGTAGCAGTTAAAGCTTTCAAGAACGGATTTGGATTTGGAATAGGGAGTTGAAGAGCGCAAGGGCGGAAGTAGGTCCGCGGCAAGTATAGCTTTCCCCGCACTCCCAAAACTGCGGGGATCCCGAGGGTCTACATCTACAGTGGACACTATGTATCCTACATTAACGCATTAAAATAAAATAAATCAATGGCCTATTCAATGCTATGCTATCAAAACCAGTTCTCAACTCCAAAATGCAAAATGCATAAAAGCTATCAGAGGATTAGCCTATTCCTAGTCAGTCCCAGAACCACTGCAGTGCCCGCATAGACAGTCATAGTCCGTAGAACTCCAGTAGTTAGCACCATAGTCAACAGTAATCTCTTCAAAAGGAAGAATGTCGCGGAGGGCTTCGACTATGCACACAACTCGGTTTCCAATGGTGCGAGTCGTAAACTGCGTCGAGGGCCGGCACGAGTGGCTGATAAAACGGGTCCAGTTGCCAAATTGGTGGGGGCAAATTGTACACAAATTGCGAACTTTAGCCGCATCGGGTTTGTCATCGCTTTGGATCAGGGGATAAACTGCCTCTACGGAATCGGGAAGGAGCTCACCCATGTATATATCGAGAATATTACCACGCCCGAATCTCGTCAGCGCCCGCACACCAGTACCCGTCCCGGGGTATTCTCTCAATTCAACCAGCTCTCCTGCCCGAGATGTCAAGCGGCAATCACAAGAAACGGGGCTGCCACATAGAGCGCAGTCGCTTCCGACGTTGATAGAACTGCCATTGGGTAGATGGCGAAGCGTCGGGTCCTGTTTCTTGCCACGCCACTTCTTGGGATCATAGATACTCTCGTTAATGTGTTGCTGTAACTTGCCGTTGTAGGTGGGCTCCTTCAGCTTGCCATCAAGCGTGATAACTGTGTGATGAGGGTGGTCGACTTTCCACGCCATGTATGTCTCGATTTCGGGTTTCATATCTGGAAGTCCTGGGATGGGGTAGCTCTGGTGAGCCCAGAGAATGTTACGCCACTTCAGGGCACGGCTATGCGCATAAAGTTCAATACTCAAGAAGTTTTCTTGGATCTTCTGGAGCAGGAACCCCCAGGTTCTATCGCCGGCTTCTTTGATGGCTCGTCGGAATGCTTCGGCATGGGAACAGATAGCAAACATCTTCCATCCGAGCCCAGTGACAAACTCTAAGAATCTACTGTTAGGTGTGATGGGTTGGAACTCACCATGTTCCGCCTTGAAGGATTCCACGCAGGACATGTAGGAGCCAATTTCCCGTTCCACGAATCCTTCCGTGAAGGCAAGCATGTTGGAGAACGTCTCTTGACAGCCGTAAGCTTTCTCTCTCGCAAGTCTCTCTAGGTTGCAGTAGGCGTTAATATCGTGGTACACGGCTTGGATGATATCAGTAGCTTCCTTGTTTGCCGTCTGGTTCAGCGCGTCTTCAGAGCCCCAGGGTGGGAAAAGCTTCTTGAGATCGATGGGTGGATGGGGAGCCTTTTTGGCGGCCTTCCTGTTGGTGGTCTTCCTGTTGGTGGTCTTCCTGTTGGTGGTCTTCCTGTTGGTGGTCTTCCTGTTGGTGGTCTTCCTGTTGGTGGTCTTCCTGTTGGTGGTCTTCCTGTTGGTGGTCTTCCTG